TTTTTTTTTTTTTTTTAGTTGGAATCTCACTCTGTCACTCAGGCTAGAGTGCAGTGGCACACTCACCGCTTCTAGAGTCGCCTGCTGGGCTCTGGCACCTCAGCCTTCCAAGTAGCCAGAACTACAGGCATGCACTACCACACCTGACTAATTTTTGATTTATTGTAGAGATGAGGTTTTGCCAAGTTGCCCGGGCTGGTCTCGAACTTGCAGGCTCAGGCAATCCACTTGCCTCGGCCTCCCAAAGTGCTGGGATTACAGGCTGAGCCACCAACTGGCAAATGTTCTTGTGTTTTTGCAGAGATGGGGATTCATTATATTGCCTAGACTGGTCTTGAACTCCTGGGCTCAAGCAGCCCTCCTGCCTCAGCCTCCCAAAGTGCTGAGATTACAGGTGTGAGTCACTGTGTCCGGCCAAGTATATGTATATCTTTTTGATTCTAGCCATTCTAGAGGGTGTGAACTGGTATCTCGTTGTGGTTTTGATTTGTATTTCCCTGAGAGCTAATGATGTTGGGTATCTTTTTATGTATTTGCTGGTTATTTGTGTATCTTTTTTAGAGCAATATCTATGCAAATCATTTACCCATTTTTAAATTGGATTCTTTGTCTTTTTGTTGTTGAATTGTAATAGTCTTTAATATCCTAGTTAGAATTTCCTTATTAGATACATAATTTGTAAAACTTTGTCTCAATCTGTGGTTGTCTTTTTACTTTCTTGATGAGGTCCTTGGGAGCACAGAAGGTTTTGTGTGATGATGTCCAGTTTATCTCATTGCTTCTGTTTCTTGTTCTATTGGTGCCACATCTAAGACGTGTGTTGGTTTTTAAACCCCAGGTATTACAAGACCAAGTGGACGAACTCCAGTCTGAGCTGGAAGAATATCGTGCCCAGGGCAGAGTGTTCAGGCTTCCCTTGAAGAACTCACTCTCAGAGGAACTTGATGCTAACAGCGGTGGCATTGAGCCTGACCAGGGTAAACACAGTCAGTCAGGCTTTAGTTAAAGCCTTTACCTTTGTTTTTAGTAGCAGAGTTGAATATAAAATTGTAAAACTTTGGCAACCTTAAAAAAAAAGGACTTTGGCAATACTCTTTTCTTGAGCTAGTTCACTTGTGGTCTGGTTTTCCGTTTGTCCTTGAAGTCTTTATGAGATTTTTTCCATCTGATTTTGATATGCATCAACAAAGGAATGGAAAAAATCAAACCACAAGGGCATTTGCTGTGTTTAAAAAACAAACAAAAAATTGGCCGCAGATCTGGGAATCCAGACCTTCAGAGTGTCAGGATTCAGATGCTGAGCTCTTGCTGAATCCTTTCTTTCTAAGAGAGTGCCTAACTGGTATGAAGATGGTTTTGGAGCATGGGCCAGCCAACAACCACAGAGTCTGTAACTGGTTTTCTTACACTGCCTGTGCTGAATGTCTGTATTGCCTCTGCAAAACAGCAAAGAAGATGAATAAGGGTTGGTCTCCTGTGCCTTTGAGGAAGATTTTGAGCAGCAAGTTGGGAAGGCAGCATTTACTTGGGACCCCCCCCCCACACTCACCATCAGCTCTTTTCCTCCCTCCTGATATCCTACCTCTTTTCTCCAGTGTTTTGAGTTTGAATTTCAGAAAGAGCTTGTCATCAGTTCTTCTGTTAGAAACAGCTTTCTCCACTGCTATTTGGGACAGGAGTGTGGTTCTTCTGAAGGTTGTGTATTCTTCCACCTACCTACTTACTGTAGAATAATTAAGGGGTAAGGGAGGGGAGAGGAAGAGGCCTTGAGACCTCTCTGATTCTTGGCTCACTGTAGGCTAAGGATCTGGTGATATGATATGTCTTGGCAGCTTTTCTGGGCTTTGTTGGGGTGCTCCTCATGGGTATGTAAAGCTGCACCACCTTACACCTGGGCATTACTTCTCAGTTGAGGATACACCATCATATATGAAGAGAATTCTCAGAGCAAGACTGTTAAACCCAACTGCTAGACCTATATCTATAAAGAGTCTCTCCTCCCATCTGCCCCACATGAAAAACTATTTTGGGACTCCCACCTTAAGAGATTTCTATATAGTCCTAGACATAATATTTTTGTCTATTTACTAGCTCAGCCCTCAACTTAAGCTTCAATGTGCTTCTCAGTCATCATCACGGACAGTTGCAGAGATGAACTTATGGATGAGCTGAGAATCCTTTTCTTCCCACCCTTCCCACCAAAACTGCCTATATCCAGGTTCCTAATCTATGGCCTATTTTGTAAAATTTATTTTATTTTAAAGATGTGGGGTACAATCCATGATTAGGTATACAAGTGGACATGGTACAGATAAAGTTTGGGCTTCTCTTTGGTCCCCACTTTGCCTAGTTTGAGATCAGGTACCCTTATTGATATTGTGTTCCTTTCCCCCCTCTCCAACCCCGGCAGTATCCCGCTACCGCCAATCCCTTTCTTACAGTATTATGGTAAGCATTCAGAGTCCGCTTATGAGTGAGATCATGTGGTACTCTATTCTTTGTTTCTGTGATAGATCGCTGAGTATTATTATCTATGTCCTATATTTGGAAACGTATCTTTTTTTTTTTTTTTTTGAGTTGGAGTCTCACTCTGTCGCCCAGACTGGAGTGCAGTGGCCGCTCCCGGCCACCACAGCCTCCGCCTGCTGGGCTCCGGCAATCCTTCCGCCTCAGCCTTCCAAGTAGCCGAAATTACAGGCATGCGCTACCACGCCCGGCTGATTTTTTGATTTATTGTAGAGATGAGGTCTCGCTGCCCAGGCGGGTCTCGAACCCGCGGGCTCAGGCAATCCACTCACCTCACCCTCCCAAAGGCGCGGGATTACAGTCTGAGCCACCAAGCCCGGCTGGAAACGTATCTATTAATTTAAGATGGGAGTTCGCTCACTCCAGAAAATTCACAGGACAGTAGCCAGTCTTCTGTAATGTTGAGTGATGAGGTTAGATATCTTGACCCATGAAATTGACTCCTCAAGGCATAATAGCAAGTACTTTGACAATTTATTCCCCTGCCAAATGCCCCTCTGATAATTTATCACTCAGTATTTATTTGTTGGATGGATAGAAGTCTGGTTGGTGTGATCAAACCACCTCATGCTATTACCTCAACTTACAGCGTTTTCATGAGGAGGAGGGAGGTCACCTTTAAGCAATAGTTTTCACACCTACTTCCACCTATTGTTCAAAAAGGTGGATTCTGTTAAGATTTGACACACTGCCTGTACATGGAAGAATCTGTTTCCCTTCCTTTCTTCATGTTTGCCCCAACACTTAAAAAGAGGAGACACCTCTTGGTTTCTGGCATTTCCTCGTAGATCATATCTGTGGCAATCAGGCTGAAAACCATTCCTTCGTTAAACTGATCGTCCCTCCTCAGATGCCGGATTGTGTTATTGAGAGAAAATGCTGCAAGATCAGTGGGTCCCCTGTGTTTTCAGGGCTTGGTTCTGGAGAATGCAATCCATTGAATATGAGCATTGAGGCCGAGCTGGTCATCGAGCAGATGAAGGAACAACATCGCAGGGACCTATGCTCCCTCGGACAGGAGCTTGAAGATAAAGTAAGTGCTTCCCACCTCTCCAGCGCTCTGATTTCTTTGAGTTTTGACAACCTTGTGCATGTAAGGCATTTCCAATTCTTTTTTCTCATCAAGTGGCACTGTGTGTTTCCTCTCACGTTTGGTGGTTCCTGGGAACCCACTTCCTCAGGATAACTTTGCGGGCTCTTCTCATAAGAGGTCCTCCAAAAGTAATATCTTAAGTCCTGGCTAGTATGGAACTTGAAGCTTGAAGGGTGTTGTATTCTTTTCAAATTATTTTTTTAAATTGTAATAAAACCAAAAAATCCTCTTGATGTTGAATTACCTACTAAATTACGTACACATTCTCAACCTTGGTGTCTAAGTCCTTCGCCATGAGGCTTCAACCTACATTTCCAGTCTTTTCTTTCCCCATTCCCTTGAGTTATCCTCTGGCTAAACTGGATAGTTCCTGGTTGTCCATCAAACTCTGTCCTCTTTCATTCCTGATATTATAAACTATGTTAAACTATGCTATTTTTATTTCTTTCTGCCTCTTGAAAGCCGACTTATCCTTCAGAGTATATATCTAATGCTGCCTCTTGCATGAAGCCATTCCTGAGTTTCCTCAGGCAAATGTGATTTTTCTTTCCTTTTAAATGCTGGGTTACGCCGGGCTCAGTGACTCAGCCTGTAATCCCGCGCCTTTGGGAGGCTGAAGTGAGTGGATTGCCTGAGCCCGTGGGTTCGAGACCCGCCTGGGCAGCGAGACCTCATCTCTACAATAAATCAAAAAAATCTGCTCGGCGTGGTAGTGCATGCCTGTAATTCCGGCTACTTGGAAGGCTGAGGAGGAAGGATCGCCGGAGCCCAGCAGGTCGAGGCTGCGGTGGCCGGGAGCGGCCACTGCACCCCAGTCTGGGCGACAGAGTGAGACTCCAACTCAAAAAAACAAAAAAAAACCAAACAAATAAATGCTGGGTTACATTGTAGCTCTTTTTTCAACACTTTTTTTTCTCCAGTTGGAATCTCACTCTTGCCCAGGCTGGAGTGCAGTGTCACAGTCACAGCTCGCTGCAACCTTGACCTCATGGGCTCAGGAGATGTTTCTGCTTTAGCCTCTCAAGAAGCTGACTAAGCTACAGTCATGCATGAATAATTTTTTCTTTTCTTTTCTTTTATTTATTTATTTATTTTTTGAGTTGGAGTCTCACTCTGTTGCCCAGACTGGAGTGCAGTGGCCGCTCCCGGCCACCGCAGCCTCGACCTGCTGGGCTCCAGCGATCCTTCCGCCTCAGCCTTCCGAGTAGTCAGAATTACAGGTGCACGCTACCACGTCTGGCTAATTTTTGATTTATTGTGGAGATGAGGTCTCCCCAAGTTGCCCAGGCGGGTCTCGAACCCGCAGGCTCAGACAATCCACTCATCTCAGCCTCCCAAGGCGCGGGATTACAGGCTGAGCCACCGAGCCCGGCTATAATTTTTTTTTTTTTTTTTTAGAGGCAAGGTTCCACTATGTTGCCTCGGCTCGTCTTGAACCCCTGGGCTCAAGCAATCCACCTGCCTTGGCCTCCAAAGTGCCGTGATTACAGGTGTGAGCCATCATACCTTGCCCCTTTTATCTTTTATGTTCTGCCTCATGGTATACTTATAGTTGTCATATCCACATCTAAACAAGTCTCTCCTTGATGGCAAGAACTTGTCTTACCCAACTTTGTGTTTCCCACAGGGATATGTGTTCAATAAATATTTGAATTTAATTAACTGTTTTAAGACCCTACACTTGCAGTTGGAAAGGATGCATGGGAAGAGAGGGTATCTATGTGTGAGGTTCTGCTCAATTTTTTTCTAACGTTTTCAAGCAAAGTTTATTTAGAAAGTAAATTAGAGGCCTGGGCTGTGGCTCAGCCTATAATCCCAGCACTTTGGGAGGCCGAGGTGAGAAGATTGTCTGAGCTCAGGGGTTCAAGACCAGCCTGAGCAACTTGGTAAGACCTCGTCTCCACAATAAATCACAAAAACTAGCCAAGCATGGTGGTTTGCATCTGTAGTTCCAGCTACTTGGAAGGCTGAGGCAGAAAAATCACCTAAACCCAGCAGGTCGAGGCTGCAGTGGCCGTGAGCATGCCACTGCACTCTAGCCTGGGTGACAAGAGTGAGATTCCAACTCAAAAAAAAAAAGTAAATTAGAGAGAAAGAAGATTCATCTCCCCAAGGTAGGGAAGGGGGCCAAAACCAAGAAACATGGTGAGCTCAAAGAGTTTAGCAAAGCAATAGTTGCTCAATTCTTAATTGAGTTGTTTAGAAACCAGTAAAATTCAACCTGTTAAAAAAGATAGGCAAACTATGCTTTGCGTAACTTAAATATCTTACTCAAAGTGTTTTTGAATTAAGTTACTTTAAAACAAGATGGGGAAACTGAGGACTATCTTATAGAAAAAAAAATATCTGCTGCCCCTGCCATCTCCCCTTCCATGACCTTGAGCTGAATAGTGGTGTCACTCTCGACTCCAGGTGCGCCGTTATGAACAGCAACTGGATGAAACTGTGGTCACCTGTGAAAAGGAGCAGGCGAACTTGAAGCAAAGGCATGAGGCCGAAATGTACACCCTGGAAAAACAAATAAGCGACCTTAAGAATGAAAGCGCAGAACTTCAGAGACAGGCGGCAGTGCTCAAGGAGGCGCACCACAAGGCCACCTGCAGGCACGAGGAGGAGAAAAATCAACTGCAAAGGGAGTTTGAAGAGGAAAAGACCCGCCTGCAGGAGGAACTGAGGCTGGAGCATAAGACGGAGCTCACGGCTAGGCTGGCGCAGGCAGAGGAGAGCTTCGCGCGGGAGAGGGAAGGGATCCTTCAGAACAGCGCCCAGATGGAAGAGAAGGTGAGAGGCTTGACCCAGGAGCTCGGGCAGTTGCACCAGGAGCAGCTGGCAAGCCTGGCGCAGAAGCACACTCTTGAGAAAGAGGAGCTGAGGAAAGAACTCCTGGAAAAGCACCAGAAGGAACTTCAAGAGGGAAGGTAAGAAAATGAGGGGAAACCAAGTCACCTGGGGTGCTTTCTCACAGGGCAGCAGAAGGCCCAGGCAGTTAAGGAGACTTGGAATAATTAGATTCTTTTAAAAATTTTGGACCAGTTTTGACATTGTTTTTATATAAGCCTACCTTGGGGTGACTGCAACTGTTTTTTGTTTATTTTTGTTTTTAAAAGAGGGAGGTATTCCTCGTATTAAGATTTACTATATTTCATAAGACTCCAGAGGAGATGATCCCAAATGTGGTTCCTTCCTAGTTCAATCCTGTTGCTTTCTGAGAAAAGCTATTCATAAGCTGGACTCTGACCAAGGTTATGTTTCCTCCCAGAGCTGTAAAACAGCGATCTCTGTTTACCTTCCTCATGTGAAATCCCAGGTACACTTGAGGGCTTTTATGCTTCACACCCTGATTAACTTGGTGCTCCTTTATTAAATAAGAAGCAAAAGCAGAATGAATTTCTTAAGATGTATGGTTTATGTGACTAATCGCCCATAATGCATGCTTAATTAAGGGATGTAATCCATTTCTCAAGTTAGGGGTTATGTTCATATGCATTTGATCATTTTATGTGAAATACCAGTTTAAGTCTTTGGTTTTAAAACCAAATATATCCAGGATATGCCCAAGAATTTAGTTGCCAAAATGTCACGCTCACTACAGAGGGAGAGGTAAGTGTTTTCAATTCATTCTGGCTTCCCATCTTAACTCTCAGAAATGAAATCCCTTTTCAGCATAAATGAACCACAGAGGAGCAAGTTAAGATCCTCCTTAAGAGCCAGGCTCAGTGGCTCAGCCTGTAATCCCAGCACTTTGGGAGGCCGAGGTGAGTGGATTGCCCGAGCCCACGGGTTTGAGACCAGCCTGGGCAACTTGGCAAGACCTCGTCTCTACAGTAAATTAGCCAGGTGTGGTAGCTACTTGGAAGGCTGAGGGGGAAGGATTGCTGGAGCCCAGCAGGTCAACGCTGGGGTGGCCGTGAGCCTGCCACTGCACTCCAGCCTGGGCAACAGAGTGAGAGTCCAAATCAAAAAAAAAAAGAAATCCTCTTTAGGAAAAAAAAAAAAAAGATCCTCCTTAGGATGTGTTTCTGTGGTTCACTTAGCATCCTCCCCAGTGCATGGGAAAATGTTTTTTGGTTTGTTTCCAGAGTTGGTGGCAATGTTAGTAATGCTGTATGTTGACTACATTTAGGGAAAAAGTGGAAGCAGAGTGTAATAGAAGAACCTCTCAGCTAGAAGCCCAGTGTCAGGCCGATTGTCAGAAAGTGACCGAGAGGTGTGAGAGTGCTCTGCACAGCCTGGAGGGGCGCTACTGCCAGGAGCTGCATGACCTCCATGAACAGCAACGCGAGGAGAAGTCCCAGTGGGAGTTTGAGAAGGACGAGCTCACCCAGGAGTGTGCAGAAGCCCGGGAGCAGCTCAGAGAGACTCTTGAGAGAGAGAAAGCAACTTCTCTGGCCCTGACCCAGGAGAGAGAGATGCTGGAGAACACATACAAAGAGCACTTGAACAGCATGGTCATCGAGAGAGAGCAGCTTCTTCAGGACCTGGAGGATCTGAGAAACGCATCTGAAAGCCAGCAGAGCCTACGGTCTGGCCAGATGCTAGAGCCGAAGAGCAGCCGCGAAAGACAGCTGAGGGACCGTGAGCAGGCCCTGGGCCAGGCTGGGGTCTCGGAGCCGCTGGTCAGCCGGCAGCTGGAGAGGCTGGAGATGGAGCGTGACCAGGAAGGGTCCACGCTTCTGGCCATGGAGAGCGTGCATAAAGTGACCCGTGAGCAAGCGGATCGAGAAAGGGCTGAGATGAGCGCAGAAATCTCCAGACTTCAGAATCAACTCAAGGCAATGCAGCGGGCGGCATCTCCTCTCTCCAGGCTTCAGAGTGGTTGCCGGGCCGTGGGAGGGGAGGAGACAGAAGGCAATGGGGCCATGTCCTTGCTTCAGCAAGGGGAGAAGCTGCTGGAAGAAAATGGAGATGTCCTCCTAAGCCTGCAGAGAGCTCATGAACGAGCAGTGAAGGAAAATGTGAAAATGGCTAGTGAAATTTCTAGATTGCAACAGAGGCTGCAGAAATTAGAGCCAGGGTCTGTTATGTCGTCTTCTTTAGATGAGCCAACTACTGAGTTTTTTGGCAATTCTGCGGAACACACACAACGATTCTTACTGCAGAACCAGATGAAGCACACAGAAGGTATCACTACACAGCGCGTTCTGAGTCATCTGCAAGACGACGAGGTCCGGGATCTGGGAAGTACAGGGACGAGCTCTGTCCAGAGACAGGAAGTCAAAATCGAGGGGTCTGAAGCTTCCCTAGAGAGTTTTTCTGAGCTTGAAAATAGTGAAGAGACCAGGACTGAATCCTGGGACCTGAAAAATCAGATTAGTCAGCTTCAGGAACAACTCATGACTTTACGTGCGGACTGCGATCGAGCTTCTGAGAAGAAACAGGACCTCCTTTTTGATGTTTCTGTGCTAAAAAAGAAACTGAAGATGCTTGAGAGAATCCCTGAGGCCTCTCCCAAGTATAAGTTGCTATACGAAGATGCTAGTAGAGAAAATGACTGCCTTCAGGAAGAGCTGAGGGTGATGGAAGCACGCTACGAAGAGGCCCTGGAAAATAGCAAAGAGCTCACTGCAGAGGTTTTCAGGTTGCAGGACGAGCTGAAGAAAATGGAGGAAGTGACAGAAACGTTCCTAACCTTGGAAAAGAGTTATGATGAGGTCAAAACAGAAAACGAGGAGCTGAATGTTCTAGTTTTGAGACTTCGAGGAAAGTTGGAGAAGCTGCAGGGAAGGGCAGTCCCGCAGTGTGACTGCTTCTCCTTATGGGAAGCCCGTTTAGATAACCTGGAAGTCGATCCTGATGGCAAAATACTTGAACTCCATCAGACACCGGAAGAGTATGTGCCCAAGGTTATGAGTGTGCACCATATTATAGAAGAACGTGCACAAGAAAACCAGCACCTTGAGCAAGGAAGCACACAGCTCCTGGAAAAAGTAAAAGCGCATGAAATCGCCTGGTTAAACAGAACGATTCAAACACATCAAGAAAAGCCAAGAGTACGAAATCAAGCTATACTGGAGGAAGAAGCTGCTCTCCTAGACTTTCAGGACAAACATTTTCAGCGTAAGTCCACAGTAGCAGAGTTAGAACTGGAGAAAAAAAAGCTACAGGAGCTGACCAGAAAGTTGAGGGAGAGAGTCACTACTTTAGTTAAGCAAAAAGATTTACCTTCTCAAGGAGAGAAGGAGGAAGAGCTGAAGGCAATGATGCATGACTTGCAAATCACATGCAGTGAAATGCAGCAAAAAGTTGAACTTCTGAGGTAATGTATGACCTTCTAGACTCCACGACTTCCACAGAGCACCTCAGCAAACCTAACTTCTGCTGCTTGCTGTGCCTAGAGAAACTAACCTGTTAGTCTTCAAGAAGAAAACAATACTGTAGACTTCCTTCTGCTTCTGTGTTGTATTAACAGATTAAATAACCTTGCCTCCAGGCATTCTCTTCCTTTGTAGCAAATAGTGTTCAGATGGGGTGTGAAGTTTCACAATGGCGAGTGTTTGCTTTTTAACTTTTTTCTAGCACTTATTTCATTTGGATGAATCGTTTTTATTTTTTTCTGAATGTTAGTCACTTTCTTCATTTTGATGAAACATGGTGTATGAGAGTAAATGCCTTTTTGTGTGAACTTGCTTCTTATACTAATGTAGAAGAAATGTTGTTTTGTGGCTTACAGTTTTGCACTTGAAGTGCATGCTGATATCCTCTAAATAGTGGAAATTTATCTTTAAACATAAACTCTTACTGAGCAGCTTGAAGAATAAATTTATTTGAAGAGTAAAGACAAAGGTGGAACTAATTTGAACCTCCGCTCACTTGACTTTCTAAAATATGACTGCATAGTCTTCGAACAAGTTTAGTTTTTCTTTAAAAAAAACTTGTAAAATATTCCATCGTCTGAAATATCATAATGATATAAAACAAAATAATTTAATTCCGAATGTAGTTTTTTCTCTCCTTTCTTCAGAACATTTTAATCCTAAAAAATCAATATAATGAGAATCATAAAATCACAAACTCTACAGTGGACATATTTCAGTGTGGCCCTTTGGTTTATGCTGTGAATTTTCTTTCTCTAGGTACCTAGATGCCTAAAACTCATACTTAAATAGCTTAATAATGTGGCTTCTGTCAATTCAGAATAGGTAGAACTTGACACTGAGATCAGTGCAGTCATTTGCTCTGAGCGGCATGCTTGCCATTGAGAAAATCGACAACCAGAGTAGACACTGAGTCTTCATTCCTGTCCCTGTGCTCAAGTAGCGTACCCACACTTCCCTAACGTCTTTTAGTGGAATTCTTTCTTCCCAAAAGAAATTCGTCAATATGTCATAACTTGATTTCCAAGTACTAAGTGACTACTAATTTAGACTTTTCTTTTTAACTGGCATGGAATACTCATCTTGTTGGAAGTTACTAGAAAATATTTTCCAAAGCTGCCAGATGACTGCCTTGTTGTAACTGTTTTTTTACGTCTCTGTGCTTCAGATATGAATCTGAAAAGCTTCAAGAGGAAAATTCTATTTTGAGAAATGAGATTACTACTCTAAATGAAGAAGATAGCATTTCTAACCTGAAATTAGGGAAATTAAATGGATCTCAGGAAGAAATCTGGTAAGACATGTACTTTTATTTGCTTAAGACATTTTTTCAAGGACTAAAACTATTTTACTTACTTTTAAATTTTAACTCTGGGGCAACCCACTCAGGTCCCCTCCCACTGTGGGAGCTTTTCTGTCCTCTCAATAAATCCTGCTTTCTAAAAAAAAAAAAAAAAATTTTAACCCTGGCTGAGGTGAGAGGATTGCCTGAGCCCAGGGGTTCGAGACCAGTCTGGGCAACTTGGCAAGACCTCATCTCTACAATAAACTTAAAAAAAAAATTAGCCAGCCGTGGTAGCACGTGCCTGTAGTTGCAGCTACTTGGAAGGCTGAGGCAGAAGGATCACTGGAACCCAGCAGGCCGATGCTGCGGTGGCCGTGAGCATGCCACTGCACTCGAGTCTGAGTGACAGAGTGAGACTCTAACTAAAAGAAAAAGTTTAACCCTTACATTTTATTTTCATCATTTCTTTAGGCAAAATATAGAAACTGTAAAACAGGAAAAAGCTGCAATTCAGAAAATGGTTGAAAATTTAAAGAAACAGGTAAGAAAATATTTAATATATCTGAATTTTTTTATTTTGAAATTTTCTTCTTTTACTTGAAGTTTATAAAATGTACAGCACGTGTTACGAGAATAGCATATAGTCAATGATAGCAAGGCTGTAAATTCTGAGCCTAAAAACAGAAACTCACTTCATGCCAACTCAAGCGTAGACCCTAAATGCTTAATACAAGCTTTATACTCAGTAGGGGTGGGAAATGATACCTCTGAAACCAGACCTATGAAATACTATCTCCAGCCCTTGTGTAGGTTCGATTAATGTTAGCCCTCCCTTCTTCCTTTCAACTGAAAGCAGAAAGTTAAGGACAGTATCTATTTCACAGATATAGGATGCCAGTTAATCAGCATATCATTTTGCAGATTTATGATTTATTCATATAGCTTATGCCATTCAATGCTCAATTTGTATCATATTGCAATATGCAGTTATAAAAAGGAAAGACCACTTAGGAAAATGTCTGAAACAGCCAAAAGACAAGGACATGCTGGGGAAAGAGTATTTTTAGTACTTGAAATTGACAAGGTGTTAAATGTAAAATACGTTTTCAACTCTTACAAATAAATGGCAAAACCCAGCTGAAAATAGGCAATCGATATAAATGGTCAAGTTATAGAAAAAAAGAATGCAACATATAAAAAGGCACTTAGCCTAATTAGTGATTAGGGAAGTGCAAATTAAATGAGTTTCTTTTTTTTAACCTATTGAATTAACACAAGTAAAGATTCTTGTCACCTAGTATTAAAAAGGGTGTGAGGGCCAGGCACCATGGGACACACCTATAATCCCAGCACTTTGAGAGATAGATGCCAGAGGATTGCCTGGGCCCGGGGGTTTGAGACCAGCCTGGGCAGCTTGGTGAAACCTTGTCTCTACAATAAATCAAAAAATTAGCCAGGTGTGGTGGCATGCACCTGTAGTTCCAGCTACTTGGAAGACCGAGGCGGAAGGATCACCTGAGCCCAGCAGGTCGACACTGAGGTGCCCATGAGCGTGCCACTGTACTCCAGCTGGGCAACTGAGTGAGACTCTGACTCAAAAAAATAAATAAAATAAAAAGGGTGTCAGGAAATGGGCATACTCATACATTGTTGATTGTATTACAAAGAGGTAGTGCTGTGAGAAGGATATTTGGGGGACAGCTATCAAACAGTAATATATATGCAGGCTTTATAACCCAGTAAGTTTAGTTCTTTAAAAAAAATCCTAGTTACAAAATGCTACCATGACTAGGTGCAGTGGCTCACGCCTGTAATCCCAGCACTTTGAGAGGCGGAGGCAAGAGGATTGCCTGAGCTCAGGGGTTTGAGACCAGCCTGAGCAACATGGTGAGACCTTGTCTCTACAGTAAATAAAAAAATTAGCCAGGCGTGATGGCACACTCCTGTAGTTCCAGCTTCTTGGAAGGCTAAGGCAGAAGGATCGCCTGAGCCCAGCAGGACGAGGCTGCAGTGGCCATGAGTGTGCCTCTATACGCTAACCTGGGCAACAGAGTGAGACTCTGACTCAAAAAAAAAAAAGAAACAAACAAAATACTACTATGTATAAATGGATTTTCCAAAAGATCACTTTGTTTCTTCATAATTAAAAGAAATAACAGTTTATAAACCTATATGTCTATCAATGTGGGAATGGACAAACACACTATAGAATATTCTGCTACAAGGAATATTCTGCAACTTACTAAAAAATAGAGCGTGTGTTGATTTCTGAACACACTGACTTGTAAAGATAAGAGTCTGTAAGATATTATAAGTGGAAAAAAGGCCGTTCAAACATGAAATGATCTAATTTTTTTGCTTAAGAGAAGAATATGTGTATATGGGGTTTGCATATGCATAGAAAATGGTCTTGAGGGAGACATTTTCAGCTGTGGACAATGGGCCCCCTGTGGATGCAATTAGACTGAGGATTTCACTTATTCATACACTTTATACAAAGTGATTGAATGTGCAGTAATGAGTATTATTTCTGTTATGAAATATATAACTATATTAAACTTTACACAGAAAGAGAAAAAAACAATTATGTCTCTAAATCTGTTTTTTAGCACAAGTAGGGTAACAAGTTTTTTAAACTTATTTTCCTATGTTAATTAGATTTCAGAATTAAAAATCAAAAACCAACAGTTGGATTTGGAAAATACAGAACTTAGCCAAAAGAATTCTCAAAATCAGGAAGAACTGCAAGAACTTAATCAACGGCTGGCAGAAATGCTATGCCAGGAAGAAAAAGAGCCAGGAAACGGTTCACTCAAGGAATGGGAACAAGAGAAGTCTCATCTGAAAGGAGAACTGGAACACTGTAAAGTGCAGGTATGCTACCCAACAGCATTTTTTTAAGGAAACTCCGAGAAATAGGAGAAATGCGTTTATTAAAGTTCTTACACATAAAGCTGGGCTCAGTGGCTCATACCTGTAATCCCAGCACTTTGGGAGGCTGAGGCAAGAGGATTGCTTGAACCCAGAAGTTTGAGACCAGCCTGAGCAACATAGTCTCTACAAAAAGTAAAAAATTCAGTGGGGTGTGGTGGGGTGTGCCTATAATCCCAGCTACTTGGGAGGCTGAGGTGGAAGGATCACCTGAGCCTAGAAGGTTGAGGCTGCAGTGAACCATGATCAGGCCATTGTCCTCCAACATGGATAACACAGTGAAACCCCGAGTCAAAAAAATAATAATAATCAAAACATTGTGGGAGCTGGGCTTAGTGGCTCAGCCTGTAATCCCACGCTTTGGGAGGCTGAGGTGAGTGGTTTGCCTGAGCCCGCGGGTTCTAGACCCGCCTGGGCAACTTGGCGAGACCTCATCTCTACAATAAATCAAAAAATTAGCAGGGCATGGTAACGCGTGCCTGTAGTTCCAGCTACTTGGAAGGTTGAGGCGGAAGGATCGCCGGAGCCCAGTAGGCCAAGGCTGCAGTGGCCGGGAGCGGCCACTGCACTCCAGTCTGGGTGACAGAGTGAGACTCCAACTCAAAAAACAAACCAAAAAAAAACATTGTGGTACTGGCACATAAATAGACAAGTAGTTAAGTAGAATAGAAAGTCTAGAATTCGATCCAGATACAAATGGAAACATAATATATAAAAAAGGCTACTTCTCAAATCACTGGGGCAACAACTCTTGGAACCATAGTAATGACTCACATACTCTTCACATTTGCCCAAAATAAATGCTCAAGTAAAACCATCGCCAGACATGGTGGTTCACGCCTGTCATCCCAGCACTTTGGGAGGCAGAGACAAGAGGACTGCCTGAGTCCAGGGGTTTGAGACCCGCCTGGGCAACTTGGCAAGACCTCGTCTCTACAATAAATCCAAAAAATTACCCTGATGTGGTGGCACGCACTTATAGTTCCAGCTGCTTGGAAGGCTGAGGCAGAAGGATTGCCTGAGCCCAGCAGGTCGAGACAGTAGTGGCTATGGCTGACTCCTACTCAAAATAAAATAAAATAAAATAAAGTAACCAATCAATATGGTGGGAGAGAGAGGAGATACCAACGTGAAGCACAAACACGAACAAATGGACTTAACTGTATTCTAAATGGATAATGTCATCACTCTGGTGAAGAAAAGAATTAAGTCATTTGGAAATGAGTATTTTGACCAGATACTGCTCAGGCTAAAGACAACATGAACTGTACATAAATGCCATCACAATCTCATCAGTAATTGGTTTTCCCCTGGGGGTGTGGGCTAGTAATTCTGAAACTACTTTGTGATACCAGAATGGAACAGATGAGTAAAATTACTGTAGACAATAAGAACTGGGTTTCTCCATGTTGGAGAAGTTGCAGATAGGCAAACAGGCAATGCTATGATGCACCCTCTGGTGTTGGGTTGGGATGTGAGTTATGAGCATAAACCCATGGCATCTCATAGATATACAGAGCTGTTAGTTTCAGAAATATAGATGTGTGTATATGCCCATTCTTCTGTAAGAGGAACCAGGATTCCTTGGAAAAATGATTGATTCCAGGACCGGGACAGAGAAGATCCAAGATAAGCCTGGAATGTCTCATGGTGCTGCAAAAAAAAAAAAAAAAAAGTGCTTTAAAAAAAAAAAAGAACATGTCTAAAGGACATAGACCCCAACCTGAAGAAGATCCTAATGTCCAAAATTAAAATAATTTGATCAACAAAGAATATAGTATAGAATAAAGTGAGTATAATTATGAAAGAAATACAGAATATAATAAGTATTTATGAGTCCATAGTGATAAGAGATTAAATAAATGGGGAGAAACAATAGTTCTTTTTTTTTACAGTATAATTCCCCAGTAAATAAATATAGAGACTGGGCTCGGTGGCTCAGCCTGTAATCCCAGCGCTTTGGGAGACTGAGGTGAGTGATTGCCTGAACCCACGGGTTCGAGACCAGCCCAGGCAACTTGGTGAGACCTCATCTCTATTATAAATAAAAAATTAGCCTGGGCAGCGAGACCTCATCTCTGCAATAAATCAAAAAATCAGCCAGGCGTGGTAGCGCATGCCTGTAATTCCGGCTACTCGGAAAGCTGAGGCGGAAGGATGGCCAGAGCCCAGCAGGTGAGACTGCGGTGGCCAGGAGCGGCCACTGCACTCCAGTCTGGGCGACAGTGAGACTCCAACTCAAAAAAAAAAAAAAAAAATTAGCTAGGCATGGTAGTTCCGGCTACTTGGAAGGCTGAAGCGGAAGGACTGCCAGAGCTAAGCAGGTCAACATTGGGTTGGCCTGAGTGTGCCACTGCACTCCAGCCTGGGTAACAGAGTGAGACACCAAGTCAAAAAAAAAAAAAAAGAAAAGAAAAATATATATATAAAGAAGAAAATAGAAAATCGTCGTTAGGCAAACATCCCTGTAATAATAGTTGTAGACAAAAATGCATTGATACATGTTAAAGTTAATAAGCAGAAGTTTGAGGAAAAACAGTATGTGCATGGTCTCAAAGTAACTCCCACAAAGAAAAGATAGTAACTTTACAGTGGAGAAACATGCAAAAGCTACCTAAGAAATAATTTTCCTAGCCAGGCACAGTGGCTCACACCTGTAATCCCAGCACTTTGCAATACCAAGGCAGGAGGATCACTTGAGCCCATGAGTTCAAGACCAGCCTGGGCAACATAGCAAGACCCCCATGTCTACAAAAAAATTTAAAAATTAGGTGTGGTCGTGTATGCCTATAGTCCCAGCTTCTTGGGAGGCTGAGGTGGAAGGATCGCTTGAGCCCAGGAAATCGAGGATGCCGTGAGCCATGATCGTGCCACTGTACTCCAGCTTGGGCAACAGAGTAAGACACTGACTCAAAAAAAAGAGAGAGAGAGAAAAATAAGAAATCATTTTCCTGCCATTGAAATGGAAAGTCTTTTTTTTTTTTTTTTGAGTTGGAGTCTCACTCGGTCACCCAGACTGGAGTGCAGTGGCTGCTCCCGGCCACCGCAGCCTCGACCTGCTGGGCTCCAGCGATCCTTCGACCTCAGCCTTCCGAGTAGCCGGAATTACAGGCATACGCTACCACGCCCGGCTGATTTTTTATTTATTGTAGAGATGAGGTCTCATCAAGTTGCCCAGGTGGGTCTCGAACCCGCGGGCTCAGGCAGTCCTCTCACCTCAGCCTCCCAAAGTGCTGGGATTACAGGCTGAGCCACCGAGCCCAGCGGAAAGTCTTTTAAAAGAATAGCTTTGTGAGCGGCGGGTGGGGCACACCTCATCAACAACAGTACCTGCATAATGAACATTTGTATACCTAACCCTGAATTGTATCCCACATCTTTAAAATTAAAAATTAAGAAAAAAAGAATAGCTTTGGCTAGTTCCACTGAGTATAAGGATAAAAATGGGCATAAAACAGTGTGTCATTGGATTTGTGTTATTTTTTCCTTAGTATTGCCCTTGTGAACCCTGTAACTAAGTGAAATGTCTGTTATCTGACTTTTCCGTTTTTTTCTTAGTCTTCCACTTTAGTGTCGTCTCTGGAGGCAGAACTTTCTGAAGTTAAAATACAGACACATATTGTGGAACAGGAAAACCTCCTTCTCAAAGAAGAACTGGAGAAAATGAAACAAGTAAGATTGTATGCAGCTTGGGGGGGGGTTCTTGGAACAATATGTTCTGTTGTTTCTAGCCACCAAGTGTCTTTTGTACTAAGTCCTGTTACTAACTTATTGCTTGGTAAGCTGAGGACTTAAAGTACAAGTCTATTTCTAGGATCGTTATTGCTAATTTTTGTATTGTTCTACTTATGTATCGTGTGTGTGTGTGTGTGTGTGTGTGTGTGTGTGTGTGTGTAATGATATAGATTCTAAAATTCTATTACTCTAAATTAATTCCAACCACTTTAAGAAATTTGTTGTTCTATTTTCTCCCAACCAGTTTATAAAATAACACAAGGCAAGGCATAGTACACAGTGGCTCACGTCTGTAATCCCAGTGCTTTGGGAGGTCAAGGTAGGAGGATTGTTTGAGGCCAGTTTGAGACCGGGCTTCACAACATAGCGAGAATCCAGGAGTTTGAGGTTACAGTGAGCTGTGATTGTGCTAGCCTGTAACCACCCAAAATGGTATTAAGCTTTATGAGTGTCTGAGGGGTGGGAAGGCCAGTAAGTTGGTAAAGGAGCAGCTTCTTTATTAAACCAGTGCCCAGTCATGTTATTTTTATTTTATTTATTTTCTTTTTTGAGTTGGAGTCTCACTTTGTTGCCCAGGCTGAAGCGTAGGGGCACACTCACGGCCACCCCAGTGTCAACCTACTGGGCTCAGGTGATCCTTTACCTCAGCTTCCAAGTAGCCAGAACTACAGGCACGTGCTACCACGCCCGGCTAATTTTTTGATTTGTTGTAGAGATGAGGTCTCACAAAGTTGCCCAGGCTGGTCTTGAACCCCTGGGCTCAGGCAATCCTCTCGCGCCTGGCTTCAGGCACTTTAAAATATGTTTTCTTGGCTGGATGCAGTGGCTCACACTTGTAATCGCAGCGCTTTTGGAGGCCAAGGCAAGAGGATTGCCTGAACCCAGGGGTTTGAGACCAGCCTGGGAGAGACCTCGTCTCTAGAATAGATTAAAAAAATTAGCCAGGCATGGTTGCACGTGCCTGTAGTTTCAGCTCCTTGGAAGGCTGAGGCAGAAGGATTGCCTGAGTCTAGCAGCTCGATGCTGCAGTAGCCATGAGCATGCCCCTGCACTCCAGCCTGAGCAACAGAGTGAGACTCCGACTCTAAATATATTTGTATATATATTTTCCTTTTTCCTTCTGACTGGTTGTGTTTTATAAGGTTTGCTGGATTTGTTGCCAGTTGAAAGCATGATTCAACCTTAAAGTCAGACTGTTCCTACTGTTCAGTGAGAATGCAAAAGAACTTCTGGTGGGAAGTAGAAAGATGGTCATAAAACCATAATGATAATTAAAATTAAAATTTAAAAGCCAAGTGAATTGGAGGAAAGTTTAAAACTTATGAACTATGGGGAAGTGCTAAGAAGTATAAGAAATGATCAGTGTTCTTAAAGCAGTGGTTCTCAACAGGCTAAGGGGTGAGGGTTGTCCCTCGCCCCCAGACATTTAGTAATGTCTTGGCACATTTTTTATTTTCACAACTTTGGGGGAGGGGGTGGAGGATATTACTGGCATCTAGTGGATAACGTGAGAGATGCTGTGAAATCCCCAACTGTGCACAAGATGGCCCCCACAACAGGTATGCAGCCTAAAATGTGAATAGCACCAACTTTGTTGCTGAAAAGGAACAAAAGCAGCCTTTGGTTTGTCTTGATTTCATGAGGTAGAAAGGAAAAAGCCAGTGTGTCCACACCAGCAACATTTTATTGGCAAGTGAATTTGGGCATCTTCTGATAAGAAGGGAGCATAGAACAGACTGAAAAACACTGACGGCTTTATCCTTAAATTTACCCTTGTGCCATTACCTTGTATGTGGTTCATGCCAGTTCCATAGTCTTAACTGATATATATATAATTTTCTCTTTTTTGGGGGTCAGACTCTTACACTGTTGCCCTGTCTAGAGTGCAGTGGCATGTTCACGGCCACCGCAGCCTCGACCTGCTGGGCTCAGGTAATCCTTCTGCCTCAGCCTTCCAAGAAGCTGGAACTACAGGAGTGTGCCACCACGCCTGGCTAATTTTTTGATTTATTGTAGAGAAGAGGTCTCGCCATGTTGCTCAGGCTGGTCTCAAACCCCTGGGCTCAAGCAGTCCTCTCACCTCTGCCTCCCAAAGTGCTGGGCTAACAGGCATGAGCCCACTGTGCCCAGCCAACGAGATTTTTTGAAAAAGATTTTTCTAGTTAAAGCATGAGGAAAATGTAACGTACCACATGTGCACACGTTAAATTGATGACAGAATGAGTGGCAGTGTGTTATTTTACCCTGAAGGTAAAATGGAGAGCTGGGATCATTATTTAACCATGTCTGTCTGGTTGAGTCAACCCAAGCAGACATTTCAGCAGTCAACTGGGGAGCAGAGAAAAGCCAGCAGGGAACATTTTGTTAAAATTTATTAGAGTTCAGTAGAGTTTGTGTGTTCTCTGAATTATCTACAGAGAGGCAAATATCATCAGCCATGCAAATGCCCTGTTTATAAGTCCTTCTGCGTACCTATAGCCATGATGTGATGGGAGGGTTCCTCTGTTTATCTCTTACAGCTGCACAGATGTCCTGATCTCTCTGACTTCCAGCAAAAAATGTCTAGTGTTCTAAGCTACAATGAAAAACTGCTGAAAGAAAAGGAAGCTCTAAGTGAAGAATTAAATAGCTGTGTTGATAAGGTAGTAACATAATAGAATTTTACCATCATTACATAGTATACACCATAATGAACATTTCTCTAATGACAGTGGTACTTACACTTTCTGTGCCAGCATAATTGTTCCAAAGTCTCCTGGAATAGCATTTCCACTGGCATTATGTGACCCTCGGTCTCCTGAAGCCATGATTGGAACAGAATCTAAATTAGTTGTTTACTAATTATATATATATATATATATATATTTTTATTTTTTTATTTTTTTTTTTTTTTTTATTTTTTTTTTTTTGAGTTGGAGTCTCACTCTGTCACCCAAACTGGAATGCAGTGGCCGCTCCCAGCCACCGCAGCCTCAACCTGCTGGGCTCTGGCGATCCTTCTGCCTCAACCTTCCAAGTAACTGGAACTACAGGTGCACACTACCACACCTGGCTAATTTTTGATTTATTGTAGAGATGAGGTCTCGCCAAGTTGCCTAGGTGGGTCTTGAACCTGCGGGCTCAGGCAATCCACTCACCTCAGCCTCCCAAAGTACTGGGATTACAGTCTGAGCCACCAAGCCTGGCCTACTAATTATATTATTAAATACAATACTATATAAAATTTGTCTTATTTTAATATGTCACAATGCTACTTAATTATTACTTATATATGAGGGTACACTCAGAATTTGTTCCTCTGGTTCAAACAATCAACCAAAGTTTTTTTTTAAAGATGTGGGGTACAATTCAGGGTTAAGTATACAAATGTTCATTTTGCAGGTACCCTTGTTGATGAGGTGTGTACCCCTTTCCCCTGGTAGTTTCCCACTACTGCCAATTCCTTTCTTATAGTATTATGATAGTTATTCAAGGTCTGCTTATGAGTGAGAACATGTGATACTCAGTTGTTTGTTTCTGTGATAGATCACTCAGTATTATAGCTTCTAAGTTCATCCAAGTTGCTGCGAATTTCATAATTTTGTCCTTCTTTATGACTGCGTAGTATTCCACTGTCTATATGTATCATATTTTTTTAATCCAGTTTTTACCTGGAAGTTTTGAGAAGGTTGTGTCACAATTTGCAGAAGAAACATCCCAAGTTGTGGCAAACAGGTGACTGGTTCTTCCACCATGACAAAGCACCTGCCCACACTACACTGAGTGTTCGGCGGTTTTCGACCAAAATACAGCATGACCCCCATGCCTCACCATCCCTATTCACCCAATCTCGTCCTGAGTGACTTTTTTTTTTGTTTCCCTGGATTAAAAAAGTTCTCAAAGGGAAACATTTTGCTGATGTAGAAGAATAAAACAAAAAATGTAAGAAACCCTAAAAGGTATCAAAATTGACGAGTTCAAAAACTTTTTAGAGCAGTGGGAAAGTGTCCTGATAGGCATATTGTATCAAACAAAGAGTACTTTGAAGATGACTGAAACTTAAACATGTAAGAATAAATATACAATTTTTATAAATAAATTCCATTTGCTGGGGGAATCCCCTCATATATTACTATTTTGTTATATATGTTACAAATATTGTCTTTAATGATCTGAGATCTATTTTATTTATTATTATTATTATTATTATTATTATTATAGAGATGGGGATCTCACTCTGTTGCCCAGGCTGATCTCAAATTCCTGGGCTCAGGCAGTTCTCTCACCTTGGCCTCCCAAAGTGCTGGAATTACAGGCATGAGCCACTGTGCCCAGCCCTATTTATTTATGTATGTATGTATGTATTTATTTATTATTTAGAGATGAGCTCTTTCTGTCATCCATGCTGGAGTGAAGTGGCGCAACCATAGTTCACTGCAGCCTCCAACTCCTGGGCTCATGTCTCTTCCCAATTCAGCGACCTGAGTAGCTAGAACTATAGGTACACACCACATCCAGCTAATTCTTGATCATTTGTAGAGACAGAGGTTCTCACTCTGTTGCCTAGGCTGAGATCTATTTCATAAACAAACACTTTTTGTTCTATTGTGTTTACTCTAGCAGATCCAAAAACATGACTTTTTTCCACCTGCCTCAGTGGGTATTCTGCATTTTCCTACTGTGGTATGCTCTTGAGATTTCTAGTTGCTTTCCAGTCTACTATCTCCCAACCTCAAAATACGAGACAGTGCAAGAAAAAGAAAAGGGGGAAAATCCCCAAAAAGAAGCAACTCCTCAACATTAGAAGTAGAAGAGGTGTCAGGAAAAGGACTTCTTGCTTTTGCCATGCCCAGCTCCCCCACGTAAATCGATGGTACTTGTTCTTTTTTTTTTTTTAGTTGGGTCTCACTCTGTCGCCCAGACTGGAGTGCAGTGGCTGCTCCCAGCCACCGCAGCCTTGACCTGCTGGGCTCCGGCAATCCTTCCGCCTCAGCCTTCCAAGTAGCCAGAATTACAGGCATGCGCTACCACGCCCAGCTGATTTTTTGATTTATTGTAGAGATGAGGTCTCGCTGCCCAGGCGGGTCTCGAACCTGCGGACTCAGGCAATCCACTCATCTCAGCCTCCCAAAGGTGCAGGATTACAGGCTGAGCCACCGAGCCTGGCTGGTACTTGTTCTTAACAGTGTAAGTGGAGGCCTATAAACTGAGACTAGATACATTTGCAAAAATGCCCTCTTGCCTTTTTCTCTTTCTGAGACAGCTGGCAAAATCGAGTCTTTTGGAGCACAGAATTGTGACCATGAAGCAGGAACAGAAGACTTGGGAGCATCAAAGTGAGAGCTTGAAGTCACAGCTGGTAGCTTCCCAGGAAAAGGTATGGGGGCAATTCTTGTTTCATCTTGTCAGTGTTCTATATTTTCCAACAGAAACCCCAATGGAAAGAATATTCCAGGTGGAAGTAGCATAACAGGCGAACATTTGGCATATATTTATAGTATGGTAAAATAATATTTCCCTCAAAGTTCACTAATGATGAGTTTACTTGCTATGAAAGCTTGAGAATAGCATATAAAAAATGGCTACTTGTTCCTAATTTATAAATAGGATTTCTAAGGCAGGTTCGTGTCCTATTATAGTCAAAATTTTCTTTTTTTTGAGTTGGAGTCTCACTCCGTCGCCCAAGTTGGAGTGCAGTGGCACGCTCACAGACCCCCATAAGGGATCCAGCAATCCTTCTGTCTCAGTCTTCCAAATAGCCGGAACTACAGGTGCACGTTACCATGCCCGGCTAATTTTTTTATTTGTTGTAGAGATGAGATCTCACCAAATTGCCCAGGCTGTTCTCGAACCCATGGACTCAGGCGATCCCCTCACCTTGGCCTCCCAAAGTGCTGGGATTTTTTTTATAAACATTTATTTTATAAATTTAAAATTTTTTAATTGAAGTTTATTTGAGACATTACTATAACGTAGCATGCTACGAGTATATATTTTTTATTTCCAACTAAGAGGCCCCTTATGGTTCAACACCACAGGCTAAAACATAATTCCTGTAAAATTCAGTGAGGCCATCTTTCGCCATGCTTGCTGGTATTCGGTGATTCTACGTCACTCAGTGCTCTCCCAGATGACAACATCAATAATACCTTGCTCCAAACATAGTTCCTCATTGTCCTAAACATAATTTCACATCCTGTAAATATTCCTAATATCCTGAGTTTCTACTGCGCTACTGAAAAGAAAGCTGACTAGAGTGAATTGAATCCAAGGGACCCTGAATTTCTCATGTCTTTGTGCATTCATTCCTGGTCATGCTAGAGATGAGTACAGGAGGGTTTATGCAGCAGTGTGTGATTGTTCTCACAATACAGGTTCAGAATTTAGAAGAAACTCTGAAGAATGTAAACCTGCAAATGTCCCAGATTAAATCTGACCTACGAGTGACTCAACAGGAAAAGGAGGCTTTAAAACAAGAAGTGATGTCTCTACATAAGCAACTTCAGAGTGCTGGTGACAAGGTAATTTCTTTTTTCATTGAGGCATAAGTTATTTACAGTAAAGTACACAAGTCTTAAGTCTAGAACTTGATTATTTTTGTGTGTATATGTATGTACACATAAATAAATATTTGTACATATCTGTGTGTTTGTGTAACCATCACTTAGATGAAAACACAGAACATTTCCAGGACTCAGCAGGCTTGCTTGTGTTCCCACCAATTGGCAACCCCAAGGAGACCACTTTTGTACCCTCTTCCAATATGGGATGACACTAGTTTCTGTACTTCATATAAATGGAACCATAGTGATATAAAACTGGTAATTTTTTTGTATTGAGCAGGTTAGAAGACCATGGCTGAGTTGAGTTTTATAGCAATAAGACAAAAACATTTTCTTAGTTAAATGACTGACAGAAGCATTCATGTGACCCTGAAAAATTTAAGTCAAGAAAAACATTGCAAGAAATTAATCTGGGAACACAGGCATAGGTTGCAAAACAGTCAAAATTCTGCTGAAAAGAAAAGCTATGGCATAAAACAGTAGTCTGAATTTCAGGAGATAATTCATTGCTACAAAAGGGTTGTTGCTGTGACATCAGACAGTCCAGGAAGAACTGATTAAAGTGGTAGTTGGCTGACACATTGTGGAGGTGCTATAGGAAGTGTCTCACTTTAACATATCACAGTGCTATTTAATCTGTGCACAAATAAGTTAGGAGCAGCGTTGTGAGTGTCAGTCTTGGAGCAGATGTTAAGATTTTGTCCTACAATAAAAGTGGGCACAAACACAATTATTTTATCTCATGGTGAAACTCTGAAAAAAAAGACAGTTTCCATTTTTAAAGTTACTTCTGGGCTGACATTTTTCTCAAAATGAGATTGGACTTTTTTTTTTAATGTTTGGCTTAAAAGGCAGGAGGCTTATCAAGTTGTGTTACCTTTTTTATTTTTTAAATCATTTTCAAGATCCAAAAAATCACTTTGGTAGCTTACAGCACATTCCTGAATTTAGGCCTTAATTGCATGGACAATATGTGCTTTGGATTCTAAAAAAGGATATGACTGCATATGTGAAAATGAAAGTAGAGTTTAACTTGTGAAGCTTTCAAGTTGGCAGTACATTTCAGCATTCCCTTTGTGCCCTCTGTGAATCAAAAGAATCTTTTCTAGGCTCAAAGAGAACTTCATAAGAATGAGACAATTTTCAGACCACTATTCTCTATATGGAACTAGGACTTGCCCTACAATCATATTTGCTATTGAACTTGACAGGGCTATTTTGCCAAAAACTAGCTTGCTTGCTTGCTTGCTTGCTTCCTTCCTTCCTTCCTTCCTTCCCTTTCTTCCCTTTCTTCCCCCCCCCCCCCCACCTTTCTTTCTGTCAGTATCTCACTCTGTCACCCATGCTGGAGCACAGTGGCACAATCACAGCTCATTGCAGCCTCAAACTTCTGGGTTCAGACAATCCTCCTGCCTCAGCCTCTCAAGTAACTGGGACTACGGGCATGAGCCACCACGCCTGGCTAATTTTGATTTTTTGGTAAAGACAAGATCTCACTATGTTGCTGAGGCTGGTCTCAAACTCCTGGGCTCAAGCATTCCTCCCACCTTGGCCCCCCAAGCGCTAGGATTACAGGCGTGAGCTACTGCACCTGGCCCAAAGACCATCTTAAAAATTAAACTTCAAGATTATTTGATTCGTATTTATATATACAGATATACATTTTCACTAGAAGACAAGGTGAAGGTTGAAAGTGGCTTGCTTACTCAGAGTTGTTGTCATTGGGTAAATAGGATGCCTTTCTCAAAGCAGAACTTTCCCATCAGCTTGTTTTTAAAGTTTAAACTCTGCAATTCTCTCTTAAGAACTGGGCTCCAGAAATAGGCACTCATACATCAGGGATCCATAGCCTGCAGAAAAGACTGTCTTGGGACAAGTTGGATCATCTAATGAATGAGGACCAACAGCTGCTTCGGCAAGAAAGTGAGAGGCTCCAGACCGTCGTGCAGAACACCAAAGCCGAACTCACACACTCCCGGGAGAAGGTAACTTGGGAAACTGCACATGGCAGCATGTGTCTGAAGATAGCTAATTTGATAGTAAAACCAGTGTTTGATATGATTGAAATGGTTCTAGGGTATGAATTTGAGTCTCCTGCTATGGCAGATTTATTTTAAGAATAGATCATTTATCATGTACTTGCATATAATTTTATCCTGATATGTTTATAAAATATTTTTCATTTTGTATAAGCAGCTCTATATTAAAATATATTTGCAATGTTAATTCTCATATCCAGAATATAGACTCATGGAAATTATGTGAACCATATATTCTTTGTTCAGATTGGCTGGCCACCAAGACTAGTAGTACCAAAAGGCAAAATAGACTGAGCTCTTGTGGGTCTAATGCCTTTTAAGAGAAAAAGGTAGCTTTAAAAAAGACTTAGCATTTCAAGGTCAGAATGATCTTTAAGGGTCATTCTCTTCCAACCTCCCTTCCTATGCTATGTAGTCAACCAATGATATTTAACACCTCTTTTGAGAAGGAACTCTCTGAAGAGCCACAGATTATTTTTGGTTTTTTGTTTGTTTGTTTTTGAGTCAGAGTCTCACTCTGTTGCCCAGTGGGCTGGAGTGCAGTGGCATACTGATGGCCGTTGCAGCCTCGACCTGCTCAAGTGATCCTTCCAAATAGCTGGAACTATAGGCACAGGCCACCATACCCGGTTAGCTTTTTTAAATCTATTATAGAGACGAGGTCTCACCTAGTTGCTCAGGCTAGTCTTGAGGCCCAGGCAATCCTCTCACCTTGGCTTCCCAAAGTGCTGGGATTACAGGTGTGAGCCCACCGTGCCTGTCCACAGATATTCACCTGAACACCTATTCTGTGCCAGAAACTCTATCACTGAAACTGCAGTGGTGAACAAGACAGTCATGGTTCCTGTCCTCATGGAACTTAGTTGATGTAAATGCATTGTTTCAGGTGAATGCTCCAATACATAGCAGACAGAACTGTCACCAAATTCACTCCTCAAAGTAATGAGAATGTTAGAACACAAGTACCTAAGACAGCATGTCTGTTTTCACACGTGCTCCTGACTTCTGGAGATCTAGTAGACCCAGAAGTCTTCTCTTACCTGTCCTGCCTTTAGAGTGTTGGGTTTGTAGACTCAACTAGACTTACCTAGAAAGAATTTTCTTTTGACCCAGAAAAGCAGACTTCAAAACTTGATAGACTTGACTGAAAAAGAAAGTTACAGCAGGGCCCAAGTGCTGAGTTAATCTTCCCTTATGTTTGATGTTTATTTTTCCTGGCTGGATGATTGTATGAGTATTTCTTCCACTTACATATGTTGTTGTTAGGTCCGTCAACTGGAATCCAGCCTTCTTCCCAAGCACCAGAAACATCTAACCCCATCAGGTACTGTGAAACCCACAGAGCAAGAGAAGTTGAACTTAAAGAGAGAGTGTCAACAGTTTCAGAAAGAACGATCTCCTACTAATAGAAAGGTGGGTTTTGAGAGTATAGAGCGTATTCTTGTGTTCTCACTATAATGTATCCCTAAATGTATGTTTCTTTTCATGTGTGCTTCTGAGAAAATGATTACAATGGTGCGTGCTGGTTCTTCCTATCTCTTTATGCTGTTGCAATCATGTCAAAACAGTATTATAGTTCTTTTTTATTAAATAATGGTTGGAAAAAAGAGCAATTTACTTTAAGCTTTCTTAAAGAAGACAGTCTCTCATTCATATTACAAGCTTTTATCAGTTAGCAAAATACTTACAACCTGAATATTATAAACATCTTAATATGATCTGTATTAGTTACTTCCTGTATTATTACTTACCAGGTAATAAAGTAAAACAGCAAACATTTGTCATCTCATCTGCAGGTCAGGAATTCAGAGGTAACTTAGCTGAGTGGTCTGACTTGAGGTTCTTATGAGGTTGTAGTCCAGATGTTGGTCAGGACTGCAGTTATCTGATGTCTTTGCTTGGGGCTAGTGGAACCACTTTTCAGGCTCGCTCATAACAACTGTTAGCAGCAGCCTTCTTTTCCTTGCCGGCTGAGACCTCAGCTTTGCACCACCTGGGTCTTTTGGGTGTGGCAGCTGGTGTCCCCCCAAAGGAGAAGCTCTTGAGAGGAACAGGCAGACACTGAGACCAAAAGACCAACACGGAAGCGGTATTGCCTTCTATAACCGAATCTCAGAAGTGACATACCAACATTTCTGCTGTGTTCTGTTTGTCATGCAGACTTACCCTGGTGTTGTGTGGGAGGGGACTAGACAAAGGTGTGAATATTGGGAGGTGGGGGTTGTTGGGGGCCATCTTGGAGGCTGGTCACCACATGGTCAAAACCTGTAGTGCAACTCAGTTTGCTTTCTATACTTTATCCCATGAAGTTAGAGTGCTAGACCAGTATTACTCTGAGAGTTGTTGTCGTTACTTGTTTTTCTTTCTGGGTTTTTTTTTTTTCCTGAAACTTAGAAGTGGTTGTTTTCCAACTATTACCTTCCTCTTCCTAAAAATATGATTGGTTTAAAAATCTGGGGAGAAGGAATATTACTCTCCTTATAAAGTATTCTTAAATTTTTTTTTATTAATTTGTGAAAGTCATCGTGGCCATTTGCAGTAAGAAGTCTGGCTGTGCTCCAAAGCTGAAATATCATTTAATTTCTGGTACATTTAAGTAAACTTTTCAGAAAGAGAGTAGGTTTCATCTAGCTGCTCATCTGAGGAAAAGTCTTGTGATAGATTTTTAAATAACAATGAATTCCAGATGGATATGGGAAGATTGCACTTCTGCTTAACAATTCTGGCTGCTCTCCCCAGCTCTTTTTGATAGAAGCAAGATCAGCATTCTAGGATGGTGTCATATTCTATTCTAGAATCGTGTCATATGTTTTCTACTTAGCAATATTCTAACACCCAGTGTCCTCTAGCTCATTGGATTCTTCCTGTAGTAAAGAGAATTCCAAAAATGAATACTCATAAAAATCTTCAAATGTCATCCTTAAAACTGAGCAAAGAATTATTTAAAACAGGTTTAATGTACTTTTTAAAAAAAATTTTTATCTTAAAGATGTGGGGTACAATTCAGGGTGAGTTATACAAATGATCATTGTAACAGGCAAAGTTTGTTTTATGTACTTCCAATTTTAAACCTTGAACTTTGCCTTAAGACAGCGTTTTGCCCATTGCAGATCCATAGTAGAGGATCATGAAATCAATTTAGTGAAAATTGTCATTTTTATTAACAAAATGTTCTTAAAAAGACCAGAGTACACGGCTTATGGTAATGACATTGTTTCAGTGTTATTACTTATCACCGACTGTGCAACTATATATATGTGTACATGTGGATGTGTATACGGTGTTGTAAGATAAAATGGATTTCTTACACTGGGTGGCATCCAAGCTTAAAAGCCAGCTGCCTTAAGGAATCTGTTCTGTGTGAGGACTGATGATTAAAGCTAGATTACTGAAATGTGAGCAATGCACTCAATTGCATTGTTTATTGTTTTCTGTCATTGAATTAATTTGACTTTCTCCAAGAATTGAGATTTCTGACTAGGTGGTTTTGTTTTTTTAAGGGCATTTTTTGTTTGTTTGTCTTTTTACAGGTCAGTCAGATGAATTCCCTTGAACGAGAATTAGAAACAATTCATTTGGAAAGCGAAGGTCTGAAAAAGAAACAAGTAAAACTGGATGAGCAGCTCATGGAGGTAAGATTTTAAGCAGATGGCCTGAGCTATGAAGAATATTTTAATCCATGAATGAGCCATTTGTTGGAGAGACTAGACATGGCATTGAATTCCTGTTGTGAAAATCTAAATACGCTGCCAAGATGAATTCTTTGGTCTGTCTTACCCAGTTTAGTAGATATTTTTGCTTAATTACACTGTCCTAGGAATCCATACAGCTTCCCAAAAGAAAGAACAATGTTGACTTAAAGTTCAAAGACCTATAGCATGACAAATTCAGGTAGCAGGGACTCTGAATCTGACTAAGGAGACTGGAGTTTTCTCACCCTCACTGTGTTTATAACAGTTCCTTGATGCCTCCGATATCATAATGTTTTATAGATGTGATTGTTCTTGGCCAGGCATGGTGGCTCAAGTCTATAATTTCACACTTTGGGAGGCCGAGGCGGGAAGATTACTTGAGCCCAGGTGTTCAAGACCAGCCTGTGTAACATAGCACAACCTCAAATCTACAGAAAAATAATTTAAAAATTAGTCAGGCATGGTGGTGTGCACTGGTAGTCTCAGCTACTTGGGAGGCTGAGGCAGGAAGATTGCCCGACAGAATGAGACCCTGTCTCAAAATAAATAAATAAATAAGATATATTTGCTGTCCAACGACCTCATCAGTTAGGAAGTCTATGCAGGGAATTTAAGATCATTCATATTTAAATGTTTTATTTTCAAGAGCTGCCATTTCCACACTCATAACTCAGCACTGCCTTGTAAGAGGTATAGCTGATAGGCCGGGCTCGGTGCTCAGTCTGTAATCCCAACACTTTGGGAGGCCGAGGCGAGTGGATTACCTGAGCCCGCGGGTTTGAGACCCGCCTGGGCAACTTGGCAAGACCTCGTCTCTACAATAAATAAAAAATTAGCCGGGCATGGTAACATGCGCCTGTAGTTCCAGTTACCTGGAAGGCTGAGGCAGAAGGATCGCCAGAGCCCAGCAGGTCGAGGCTGTGGTGGCCGGGAGCGGCCACTGCACTCCAGTCTGGGCGACTGAGTGAAACTCCAACTCAAAAAAAAAAAAAAGAGGTATAGCTGATAAATACGAAGAAGTCTAACAATTAAGTTTGTGAGCTCATCCTAGAAAAAGGACTACATACTTCACTGCTGAATATCAGTAGAGTCACCTTTGACGTACTCCCCTTTGGGAAGGTATGCACCGATGCCAGCACCTAGTCCACCCGTCAAAGCAATTTTGGAACTCTTTTTCTGGAATGATCACCAGAGCTGTCGTTGTATTACCTTGATGTCCTGAACGTCATCAAAATATCTTCCTTTTGATATTTCCTTTAACTTCAGATAAATAAAAAAGTCAGTGGGGACCAGATCAGGTGAGTAGGGAGGGTGTTCCAATACAGTATTTTACTGGCTAAAAACTCCCTCACAGGCAGTGCTGTGTGAGCTGATGCATTGTTGTGATGCAAGAGCTCCTTCGGGACCAATTTTGTACACACTTTTCTCATGCCAGGATTTTCAGTTGAGATTTTCCTGTTTCTCGATTGATGTTTATTTGGTCTGCTATGCTTCTCACAGTCAGCAGATGATTTTGACCCACAATTTGATCAATTTTTGCAATGTTTTTGTCAGGTCTGCCCATTACTGGCCACCCTGACCTCTTTTCATCACTGAAGATTTCTCTCCCCTCAGGAATACGTTTGATCCATTTGTACACTGCCATTTTCTTTATGGCATTAGTCCCATAAACTTGGACTAACATGTCCCTGATTTCAGTTCTGCTCTTGCCATATTTAACAAGAAATTTAATATTTGTTCATTGCTCTAATTCAAGCTTGACATTTTTCCATGGCCCACAAAAACATGCAACAATAATAATGAACGCCCCTCAGCAAGACACCACCACATGTTGACACGAACATCGCTGTGAGACACTGATATATCAAGGTTAGGAAACCTTACCGAGTTGTTTGTACAGTGCCACTGTACAGTGCTGCCAATGTAAGCACATGGTGGCAAGTTTGTGAACATAATTGTCAGTACCCATCTATAAATGGGTTTGTAAAACTTGTCAGCTTGAATGTTAGGTTTCTGTCTTAGAGCAGTCTAGAGAATGCTTTGTGAATACTGAGTTCAGTGATAGGCTATAAAACAACCTATGTTCAAATCCTCCTTAGCAAGTAAACATTTCATTGAGGTACTTTCCTTTGGGTAGATGAAAATGTTAGTGAATTAATCCAACATTTAGTGAACTATCAAATTTATATAAGGTAGAGAAGCAGGTGTGGAAAATGTCTTTTTGTCCTCTTAAAAAGTACAATGTATACACATATTTTAAAGCCAGAATTAGCCGGGCTCGGTGGCTCAGCCTGTAATCCCACGCCTTGGGAGGCTGAGTTGAGTGGATTGCCTGAGCCCGCGGGTTCGAGACCCGCCTGGGCAACTTGGCGAGACCTCATCTCTACAATAAATCAAAAAAATTATCTGGTGTGGTAGCGCATGCCTGTAGTTCCAGCTACTTGGAAGGCTAGCAGAAGGATCACCGGAGCCCAGCAGGTCGAGGCTGTGGTGGCCAGGAGTGTGCCGCTGCACTCCAGTCTGGGTGACAGAGTGAGACTCCACCTCAAATAAATAAATAAATAAAAAGCCAGAATTATAAGAAGAAATGGAGGTAATCAAATATTTTTTATGAAGCTGAACACATGCAGAGATAACCTTAAAGATCAGTGATTTGTTTTTAAATGTGAAATAGGGGCAAATATATCCTACTAACATTGAAATGACCACTAAGTTTATGGTCTCTGATATTTCCACCGATGGGGAAATTCGCAAATCTGTAAATAGTGAAATCCAAACCATTTTTAAAAATTTTTCTGATAGCATATAATAAATGTGTTCAAGGCCTTGAGCTGCAGGCTGTGCTTAGACGTAGACTTGCTTTTCTGATGAAATAATTATATATGCTCATGACTAAGATAGCTGAAGCGAAGCCCAGAATGTCTAGCACCAAACTGAAAAGTGACAGGGTGCACTCAAGTTACTGTACAGCCTCTGCACAGCTCTGCCAGCTGGCCAGTTCTCCTCCCTACCCTGCTTCTCATCCAGCGCACCCTTACAGTCTTAGCCATCAGCGGCAATTTCCCCACAGTATTGTTCTTCTTGATCCTGGTACTAAATATTTGCCAACCGATGAGGAAAATTGAATCTTCTTGACCCTGGAACTAAAGAAGGAAAAAGCGTGAATTTTCCATTTGAACACTGAAAAGTACTTCTCGTGGACCATCTATACCAATGGAATTTTCATTAGAAAATAAGACTCAACTATTGACCAGGCATGGTAGCTCATGCCTGGGATCCCAGCACTTTGGGAGGCTGAGGCAGAAGGATCGCTTGAGACCAGCCTGGGCAACATAAGTGAGACCTCATCTCTAAAAAACTTTAAAAATTAGCCAGGCATAGTGGTGTGGCTGAGGGGGAAGGATTGCCTGAGCCCAGGGTGTTGAGGCTACAGTGAGCTATGACCATGCCGTCACACTCCAGCCTAGATAATAACAGTGAGACCCCAACTCAAAAAACAAAACCAAAATCCCTCAACTATCAACTTTTATTTACAGTTGTTATTATTATTATTATTATTATTGAGTTGGAGTCTCACTCTGTCATCCAGGCTGGAGTGTAGTGGCATGTTCATGACTACTGCAGCCTTGATGTGCTAGACTCAGGTGATCCTTCTACCTCAGCCTCTTGAGTAGTAAAGACTACAAGGGCACTACAAGCCACCCCCACCTGGCTAATTTTTTTTATTTTCTGTAGCAAAAAGGTCTTGTCAAGTTGCCCAGGCTGGTCTGAAACCCCTGGTCTCAGGCTATTTATTTATTTAAATTGGATTTTTTGAACAGCTTTAGTGAGATATAATTCACATACTATACAGTTCACACATTTAAAGTGTACAATTCGATGGTTTTGGGTATATTACATTATTAATTTTTTATACTGTGGTAAATATACACGTAACATAAAATTTGCCACTTTAACCACTTCTAAGTGCACAATTCAGTGGCATTAACCATATTCATAATGTTGTACAACCATTTTCACTACTTCCAAAACCTTTTAAGCACTTCAGTCAGAAACACTGCAACTGTTCCCCCACTCCAGCCCTTCAAATCAGATTTTTACCTATGATATGTATAGATTAGGCCAATTTGGGGAACGGGTACAGTGGTTACTACACTATATTTTGTGCCTCGGCTCACATGAGACATAGGTACATTCTTTCTCACTCTGGGTGGGGGTTTTTACCTGGTTGTAGTGACAAGTGGTAGGCAGGCAGGGAGAAGTTTCTACATCAGAATCTTTGGGATCAGAGAATTTGAGAAAAACGTTCTAGGTAATTCTAATCTGATACATCAGAATCTTTGGGATCAGAGAATTTGAGAAAAACGTTCTAGGTGATTCTAATCTGATGTATGCACTTGCTTGGAGGAAGGAATCTCTCTTCATCTCTCTATACTAGTTTAACAGTCACTGATTTAATGCAACGTGTACCCGACCACAGTGTCAAGATCACAAATCACTAGACTAGGAAGTGGAAGGGTTGGGACTAAAATTTCACTCCCACTTCATGGCTTTTCAATTACATGAGGCAATGTTCCATAAACAATTCATTTTGAACATTCAATAGACGAGGGTTACAGACACTATCAGTCATTCTTGAGTCTGCTGTGTACCTCTGTGATAGCCACCAGTTCAGACAAAAAATATTTCAGAACAAAAGTATTTTATAGCTCAAACTATTTTATATCTCCAAGCGGCAAGGGACCGAACAGCACATCCATTACATACTGGACTTCAAATCTTCTAAATGATTATATTGGAGTAGGTACCGGTAAGGTACAGCAGGTGAGGATGCAGCAGCGGAATTAGAGCTCTAAGGCACCTAACGTCTATAAAATTTATGTATAGAAAAATGTGAAGGTTGATTCTTCATATGCTCTTACTCATGTATATAATATACCTGATGGGCTCTGCTCTTTCTCTTTTTATAACTCGTACTTTTCGTCCTCTTGCAATAACTTCTGTAATTTTCTTTTGTCTCTGTTTTGTCTATGGCTAACCTGTGCCTAGAACTCAGTGGTTGGAGGTAGCAGAGAAGGGTGCAGTTCTCTGCCTAAGATAGTGTGTGAAGGTAGAACATTCTCTTTCGATGACCTTTCATAGCATGAGACATCTCATTAAATTCCTTGTTCATGCCATCGTTTCTATTGATTCTAACAGTTAATAAGGACTTAAGGTAAGAGCCAGTATTTATTTCCATCCTGCTTTTACTATGTAATATGTCTCTGTTTACATTGATATTAGGATTTTCCTCAATATTTATAGCATTATGTATGAAGAAAATGATCCCACGGATAGAAAGTCATGGGACTTTCTCCCTATTCTTTACCATGAAAATTAAGTGGTGGGTTTTCTTAATCTGACTTACATTAACTTTTTAAAACTGTGACAAGTATGTGCATAATATAAAATTTGCCACTTTAGCCATTTTGAAGTGTATTAATCAGTGGCATCAACTACATACACAATGTTGTACAACCATGACTGTGACTTCCAAAACCCTTTTATCACGAGAAGTATTTCAAAATGGGTAATAGCCCACTTTAGAAATTTTGATTTCAGGAGATGAATAGTGGCTCTGAAGTTCATGTAACATTTAATTACAGTTAAGTCTTAGAGGTCCTCTTCCTCTTCTCACAAGCATGGAGGTCCCTCTTCTTGACTTTTGTACTTGGTCATGTCTGTTGCATGCCTTCCATTGAGTCCTGGACACCTTTACAGGCATGAGGTGGCATGTTCACTGGCCAAAACAGTGCCTTCCTCTCCCTTTCCTCTCTGCAACTATGATTGGCATGTGGATACACATTTCATTTCCTCATTGTCTTGAAAAAATACTTCTATTCCGTGTATTCTGATTCCCAGATGTTCTAGGATAGCACAGCCTTATGCCCCAGAATTGCCTGTCTTATTGTGCTATCTGATTTATGGGTAAACTAACATAGGTTAAAATAACTTTAGATGCAAAATAAGATTCTTCGAAAAACAATTGCTAACTTGGGGTTGGAAAATATGTAGTCACCGAACATTTTACCTTGAAGAATCTTTACGATGAGAACTTAACGATTTTATCCTCTATTACCTACTCCAACCCTAAGTTTTTAAAAGGCAATGGGAGGTCATTTTTCCAATGTAAGAAAAAATGAGATAGAATTCAGGTGTAAGCCAGCTACAGTGGCTCAAGCCTGTAATCCCAGCACTTTGGGAGGTGAAGGCAAGAGGATTGCCTGAACCCAGGGTTTGAGACCCGTCTGGGCAACTTGGTGAGACCTCGTCTCTACAGTAAATCAAAAAATTAGCCTGGCATGGTGGCACACACCTGTAGTTCCAGCTACTTGGAAGGCTGAGGCAGAATGGTCACCTGAGCCCAGCAGGTCGAGGCTGCAGTGGCCATGAGCATGCCACTGCACTCCAACCTGGGCCACCGAGTGAGATTCTAACTAAAAAATATATATATATATTCAGATGTATTAAGCACACTGTGTATCTCATGCCCTTATGGTTACTCATGAATGATGAAGTGCTATTTTTTAAGTCTAAAACTTGGAAGAAGCCTTATTTATAAAGTATATTCTCTCCTTAAGCAAACTGGCTCTTCCCCTTGACAACTTCCTCAGGCTCATGAGCTGTCCTGTGTCTAAGTTATCAGTGGGATGAGCTCATCAATGAATTCACAGCCTTCACTGCTCATTGCCTGAAACCCTCAAGGGCAGCTCTGGGACTGGAGGCCCTGCAGTGACCAGGGTTCTGCCCTTGTCCTTCAGACGCAGCACCTGAGGTCCACTGCGATGCTTAGCCCAACCCCTTGGGCCTGGGACCTGCAACCGCTCCAGCAGCAAGCCTGTCCGACGGTGCCCAGGGAGCAGTTTCTGCAGCTTCAACACCAGCTGCTGCAGGCAGAGAGGATAAACCAGCACTTGCAGGAGGAACTTGAAAACAGGACCTCCGAAACCAACACGCCACAGGTACGAAGCTCTTTTTTCTCTAGGAGTTGACTCGAATCACCTGTATCACTCATTGTATTTATTTATTTCCAAGTTCAGAGGTGAGAATAAGGAACCTAAATTGAGTGGCATATGCCTGCAGTCCTAGCTACTTGAGAGGCTGAGATGGGAGGATTGCTAGAAGCCACAGTGAGCTAGGATCACACCTGTAAATAACCACTATGCTCCAACCTGGGTGTCTTCCCCATCTCTTAAGTTAAAAAAAAAAAGAACCTGAATTTTTTTTTGACAGAGTTATGCTTAACCTGTATTACAGACCCATAGAACTGCAGTGCTGTTTTGTTTGTTTGTTAGTTGGTTGTTTTGTATTGCTTTTGCAGTGCTACTTTTGAGCTTTCAGCTTCTACTCTGGGTCATTAAGTGCTCTGGGTCTCCTTTGCACATTTATAATAGATGAAGAGGTATCAGGATCACTGGAGCATAGTGCATAATTGGCCTAATGTTCCCACCTTCTGCCACAAGTATTTAGAAATGCAAGTGTAACTCCAGGTTATACACTACTAACCTCGCAGCCTGAGTTTTCCTGTACCTGAGAGGTGCGGCCTGCCAGGTTCCATGGAATCCCCAAGTGAGGATTTTCACAACTAATAAAATCGAATATGTAGTCAGTGACCTTTTTTTAATGATCTAGTTTGAAGAACTCCGTTTTTAAGAAAAAAAGGTTTTCTTTCAGTTCTATTTGAATTAGCCTTATCCCAGCTCACTTACCAGATACAACCTTCTATTAACCAGGCTGTCAAATAGTTGTTTCTCTTTAGTGCTTCCTTCATAATCAACCATTTTTTCAGAAGTTTCTTAACTCTTGGGGTTTGCCCATTTTATTAATTCAGAATTAGGACTAAAGAAATAAAAAGTCCTCTGTGGAATTCTAGGTTACACTTTTCTGGTTTGGATGCACTTCTATTTCCACATACCTTGCCTCTCAGTTAACATTTCATAATATTTTTTCATGAGTCCCTTCAACATAGCTTTGCAAAGTCATATTAGCACTGGAACTGTACTTGTCAGCAGTTCTGCTGCCTTTTCTTGCTAGTATCCATCTATGTTTTGACTGTGAAGTACTTCTAACACCTATTATTTCTAACAACTTTTTTAAAGTTTTTTTTAACCTATGTGCCTTAAAATATGTGCTTTTGGGAGCTTTCTATATACCACCTCAACTTCCCAATATTAAACTTAAATTCTTGAATTATAATTGTGATGGTAGGATGTTGGATGTCTCAACTCTTCATTATATCATTGAATTATAAGCCCTTGACCTCAGTTTTTAGTGGACCTTCTAGACAAATGATTTGGCCATGATTCTACTCATTGCTGTCTCATACACACAGCTTTCAAAACCTGCTCTTTCCAACCAACCCCCCACATTTAAAATTAAAAAATGTTTGGGAGGCTGAGTTGATGGGATTGCCTGAGCCCACAGGTTCGAGAACAGCCTGGGCAATTTGGCGAGACCTCATCTCTACAATAAATCAAGAAATTAGCCAGGTGTGGTGGCTCATGCCTGTAGTTCCATTTACCTGGAAGGCTGAGGGGGAAGGATCATGTGAGCCCAGCAGGCCAAGACTTTGATGGCAATGAGCATGCCACTGCACTCCAGCCTGGGTGATGGAGTGAGACTCCAACTTAAAAAAATAAATGAAAAGCAATAAAAAATAAGTCAGGCATGGTGGCTCTATAAACCCAGCACTCTGGGATGCCAAGGCGAGAGGATTATCTGAACTCAGGGGTTCGAGACCAGTCTGAGCAACCTGATGAGGCCTTGTCTCTACAATAAAAAAAATCAGCCAGGCATGGTAGCACATACCTGTGGGTCCAGTTAGTTGGAAGGTTGAGGTGGAAGGATCCCCTGACCCTAGCAGGTCAAGGCTGCAGTGGCTGTGAGCATGTCACTGCACTCCAGTCTGGGTGACAGAGTGAGACTCCAACTAAAAAAATTAAAAATATTCTTTTCCTCTGATGACTTCAGGACTAGATAGACAAAAATAGTTAAGATTTGTGTACAAAAAAAAGAAATCCTCCAGCCACATGACAGGGTAGGCTGCTTGTTACTCTCACTGGAATGCCACCACAAGCTATCCTGTCTCCAGTGGCTGAACTTACACTCTTAACTTTAAGAATAGGAATGTTGTTAGAATCTGCACGTTGTCTGTGTGTGGAATGACGTGATCTCTTCTGCCTCTGTGTTGCTTTGCTTGCCTATGTGGTGTTCACGTGTGTGCTTTTTAACATCGTGTGCATTATAAATGTGTGAATTTAGACTCCCCCTAAAAACCATCATCTTGACATCGGGGTGAAGTGTACCACTTGCCTTCTTTCTCTAGGCCTTGCTACCGGAGCAGCGAGCAGTGCATCCAGATTCCTACAGAAGGATTGGGCACCTGTGAACACGGGGCTGCTATCGATGGCATTTCTTACCATGGCAGACACTCAGATGCACACACCCACGCACGCACACACACCACATAGACGTAGAGACATAAGCTGAGAAATGTTGGGATCAAGTGCTCTTTTAACTTATTTTATTTTATTATTGTTGTTTTCGCTGTTAAGCCTTTGCAGTATTATGTCTCTTATTTATGTAGAAATGACAGACCTTGTGAATCAAATTCACAAATTTCAGCTTGTTACAAATCATTTTATTTCTACCATTTAAAGAGTGTGGATTTAAGGTTCTTGAAAGGATGTATATATATTTTCTCATTCCATATGTTGTAACTATTTTTAACAAAAGGTACTACTTTTATATATGGAATTTGAAGAAAATCAGGGGTATTTATACTGTTTTGTATAAGATGTATACAACTTTTTGACAGGAAAATTTTGATGAAACAATAAAATAAATTTTAAATATATGACTGCTTTGTTTTTCCTTTTTCCACTCTGTTGCCATACTCCATGTACTCTGAGTTATCTATTGTTACGGGTTTTGTTTTGCTTTGTTATTCAGCAAGTGGAAGTCAGGCATTTTCCATTTATGTTTGAACTTTTGGAAGTCATTATATATTTTTAAATATAGGCCTTTGTTAAAGCTAGATGTTCTCAAGGCCCAATTTCTTACAATTTACTTCCTGCATTAGACCTTCGCCTACTACAATGTGCGTCTTCAAAGAAGTTACATGATTTAGTTCTTTCTTTTATAAGTAAGCACAATTACTTAATATCAAAACTGATACTGACTTTCAACTCATGTTTGGTCATTCTGCGTGTTTTTACAAGTTTGTCACTTTAAAGAATATTTGGAGTGCCGTCAGCCATTAACACCTGACCTTTGCTTAAACATTTGAAGCACCTTTTCAATCGGAAACTCCTTATGGGGATATTTTGCTGGATGGCAGGGGGCGGGGGAGCAGTCAGTTGCACTCTGTTCTCTCTCCAGGTTTCTCTTCTCTTCAAAACTCATTCACTCCTTAACCCATCTCTGTTATGTGAGAAGAGGAATGCCCTGTTGTTTTATCTAGGGGTTGTTTGTAGGAAGAAGATTCTTAAGTCTCCTTCTGCTCTGATGGTAAACCCATCCTCCAATCCAGATGCGTGCTTCACATTCCCGAGTCAAATTGGGAAACAGATGACTAGAATAACTGGCAAGAAGAGGCTGAGTATTATGAAAAAAAATAAACACTGACACCCTGACAGTAATCAGCCATTTCAAAGGAAAAACAGACATGCATGTGGCAAGCTGACTGGAGATATTGGGCAATCCTGTGTAAAGTCAGTGTTTGTTGACAGGCTGACAGTATTGCAAAGACCTAACCCACAGATGGAAGGTTGATAACCGTATCTTAATTTACTTTGGATACCCATTTTACTAGGAGAAATGCACACAGGTATTAAATTATGGGTTTTAAGAATTTTGCTTTGTATCGGGGGACAATGGTAACACAGGTAAGATTCTTTTTGTTTTGTTTGTTTTCATCTTTGATTGTTTCTCTGATAGGATTACTTTTGTGGCATGCGCAACCCACGCAGGGCTCAAAACTCCCATTTCATCAGAAATCCATCCTTCCTGTTACAAAGGCAAAACATTGACTGTCCTTTTTCTAGGCCTCTTGTGGGGGAAATGAATGACTAGTGTTTTCAGTATGGCGTGATTTTCAAATGATAAGACACGCTTATTTTTCCTTCCCTTCAGGGAAACCAGGAACAACTGGTAACTGTCATGGAGGAACGAATGATGGAAGTTGAACAGAAACTGAAACTGGTGAAAAGACTTCTTCAAGAGAAAGTGAATCAGCTCAAAGAACAAGTGAGCCTCCCTGGTCATCTCTACCCACCCACTGCACGTTCCACTTTTAACTCCAGTTTTACATCCCTTTATTGCCATTAACTTGTCACTTGTGTTGTCTAATAAAGGCAAATTCCATCCTAAATGTGTAAATAAACTTAGGATTTGCTCTGCCTCACACCTCCCCAAAAATAAGAACTCTGTATCCTACGTGATTTTTTCCAAAGTTTTTTTTTTTTTGATTTGGAGTCTCACTCGGTCGCCCAGACTGGAGTGCAATGGCCGCTCCCAGCCACCGCAGCCTCGACCTGCCAGGCTCCAGCGATTCTTCCGCCTCAGCCTTCCGAGTAGCTGGCTGATTTTTTGATTTATTGTAGAGATGAGGTCTCGCTGCCCAGGCCGGTCTCAAACCCGCGGGCTCAGGCAATCCACTCACCTCAGCCTTCCAGAGGCGCAGGATTACAGGCTGAGCCACCAAGCCCGGCTCCAAAGCTTTTTTAAAATGACATGTGTTTGTCCACAATTTAAGAATATATATTTGCTAAGACTGACTCAGATGAACCTAAAACATTTCTAAAATATTTATAGATTTTTTTTTCTGCCTAAGACAGGAGATGTTCCTATTTAAAGAAATCAAAAATGATATTGTTTTAAAAGCAGTTAGGAGTTGGGCTGGGCTCGGTGGCTCAGCCTATAATCCTAGCACTTTGCTGGGGCTGGTCTCATCTCGACAATAAATCAAAAATTAGCCAGGCGTGGTAGTGCATGCCTGTAGTTCCAGCTACAAGGAAGGCTGAGGCGGAAGAATCGCCGGAGCCCAGCAGGTCGATGCTGGGATGGCCGTGAGTGTGCCACGTGAGTGTGGGCAATGGAGTGAAACTTCAACTCAAAAATAAATAAATAGATAAAAATAAAAGCAGTTTGGGGTAGTAAATAGAACTTACTTTAGCTTTCCTATTCCCAATAGTTTATGACAAGCTCAAAAAGTACTTTATTCCTACAGCAGGACTCCAAACAGATGTGCTTTGAAATAGCGTCTAGACCACCTAGCACCCTGATCCTTTTCACCTGCTGGTGACAGATGTGGCGTCAGGGTTTAGAAAATAGTTGTCCATCCACAGAAAAGGCATGCAAGAAGTACTACCCACTAGGAAAGTGTTACAGCTTCTCTGGAAACTGGTTTAGACCAACTGGTGGGGGCGAGGAGGGGACAGAAATTGCCCAACCTAGTTCTCTAGATACATAAAACGTAAGAATAATAATCCTAAGAGAGGGTCTGAATTGGATGTAGACCTGAACTTTCTATTGCCCTGTATATTGATACACAGAAGAGAAAGAGAAAGTCTTGTCCAATAAGCATTTGTCTATTTAAGTATTCATGTATTCAACACAAAGCTACTATGTCAGGTCCTGTTCTAGGCACCCAGAGACAGCTGTGAACAACACAAAGCCTCTGCCCACGTGGAAAGGAAATTCTAGTACACCTATAAGGTGCCAGGCACTTGGCCAACAAGTAGGTTTTCAAAGATAAAATAGGGGAACACCAGAAAAGAGAAACTTGATCCAACCCAGGAGTTTAAAGAAAGCTTCCTGCCAGACTCGGTGACTCAGCCTATAATCCCGCACCTTTGGAAGGCTGAGGTGAGTGGATTGTCTGAGCCCGCGGGTTCGAGACCCGTCTGGGCAACTTGGTGAGACCTCATCTCTACAATAAAATCAAAATGAGCCAGGAGGAGTAGCGCACGCCTGTAGTTCCAGCTACTGGGAAGGCTGAGGCGGAAGGATCGCCGGAGCCCAGCAGGTCGAGGCTGCGGTGGCCAGGAGCGGCCACAGAACTCCAGTCTGGGCGACAGAGTGGGACTCCAACTCAAAGAAAAAAAAAAAGAAAGCCTCCTGAAGGCTCTTAACCCAAATCTTGATGGCTAAGATCTGAACAGGCAAGGAAATGTGGGAAGGGCATTCTAGACTGTGGGAACATCATGGGGTTATGATGACATGTGGGACACGGACATGTGTGAGCAGTTCATACCATCCTGACAACGGCTGAAGAAGAGACGAGAGAGAAAGGGAGGAGTGGGGGAATAGAAAGCCTTGTATGCTGAGCCGAGGAGTTAGAATCTTATTGTGTAGGTGATGAAATGCCATCGAAGTGTTTTTTAATGAAAGAGAGAAGGAGGAAAGAAGAAAGGAAAAACTGTATTCAGACAGTCGCATATAGAATAGGTTCTGAAATGTTAGTAGGTTACACCTGCCAGCCATCTAGATTCTGGGCTTTAGAGAGTGCTGTAATTTTACTGATGCCCTTTCAAATGCTAACAAATTATTTAGCCACTCTTTAGTTGCTCTCTGTTCCCTTAAACCTTTATACTTTTAGATGCCCTGCTTGAAATTGGGTGTAACTGGGAGGCGGAAGCGAGAGGATTGCCTGAGCCCAGGATTCAAGACCAGCCTGGGCAACTTGGTGAGACCTCATCTCTACAATAAATCAAAACATTAGCCAGGCGTGGTGGCACACGCCTGTAGTTCTGTAGTTCCGGCTACTTGGAAGACTGAGGCGGAAGGATCGCCTGAGTCCAGCAGGTTGAGGCTGAGGTGGCCATGAGTGTGCCACTACACTCCAGCCTGGGCAGCAGAGTGAGACTCTGACTCAAACAGGGGGATCGGAAAATATTAACAAGAACAATAATAAAAGTATTCCAAGGAGGCTAATGAGTTTTTCCACCCCAATTTAAACTATATATTCTGACCTTAAAGATTAGAATAAAATCAGTAGATGGAATTGTGACAGAGTAAGACCCCAACAGTAATAAATAAATTCATAAATAATAGATGGAAAAGAAAAAGATTAGAATGTCTTCTAGGCAAGGCCTCATGCCAGAAAAGAAAAGAAAAAACAGTTCAGGAAAAGTAACTGCTCAGATCTTCTCTTAGTTTTTTGTTTTTTTTCTTTGAGTTGGAGTCTCACTCTGTCACCCTGACTGGAGTGCAGTGGCTGATCCCGGCCACCGCAGCCTCGACCTGCTGGGTTCCAGGGATCCTTCCGCCTCAGCCTTCCCAGTAGCTGGATCTACAGGCGCGTGCTACAACGCCTGGCTGATTTTTGATTTATTTTAGAGATGAGGTCTCGCCAAATTGTCCAGGCGGGTCTCAAACCCGCGGGCTCAGGCAATCCACTCACCTCGGCCTCCCAAAGCGCTGGGATTACAGGCTGAGCCACCGAGCCTGGCCTGATCTTCTCTTAGTTATAATACATTATCTAAATTTAAAAATAATCAGTAGGTTGTAGTTCTGAATCGAAATTAAGAGCAGAGTTAGAGAGTCTACACCTCAGAAATTTAAGTTATAAAAGGCATTTAATATTTTTAGAGAATGAAAAAAGGAATAGCTCCTGATTCATTTAGATGGGGGGAAAAACTTTCATCTTTGAGCCCCCAAGTATCAAAAAATTAGCTGGGCGTGGTGGCACGCACCTGTAGTTCCAGCTACTTGGAAGGCTTTGTTCTTTTTATTAGTAACGTCTATAACTATCTTATGAAAAGAAATGGCTTGGAAAAAGGGGCTTGCTCTACCTGTATCCCTGATGCCAAGACTGATTTTAAAGCTGTGTTGTAAAATAAAAGAATATAATTGGAAGAAGTGATTTGCCTTTATGAAACAACGATGCTTATGTTGGCCTTAGAGAAGAAGGACAGAAATGGAGTCAAGATGTTTCTGGTTCTGTTTCCAGCTCTGCAAGAATACTAAGGCAGATGCCATGGTGAAGGACTTGTATGTTGAAAATGCCCAGTTGTTGAAAGCTCTGGAAGTGACTGAGCAGCGACAAAAAACAGCAGAGAAGAAAAATTACCTCCTGGAAGAGAAGATTGCCAGCCTCAGTAACATAGTCAGGAACCTGACACCAGCGCCATTGACTTCCACACCTCCTTTGAGGTCATAGCCAAACCAAAGGGTACATTCATAATAGTGCACTTTACTGAAATAGGTGGAACATTGCAGTAGATTCTCTCAACTCTCTCTCTTTTTCAAACCTTTAATGGCTTAAAATTGAGCCTAACCTAAAACTGCTAGCAGCAGAATGGCAGTTTCTTCGTCATAATTCATTTTTCTAAGTAGACCCTTGTAGAAGTTTCAAGTAAGTATTCATATATTTCACTGTTTCAGTTATATCCAAGACTTAAGTTTATTTTTTAAAAAAGTCTACTAGTAGCCACCAAGTTGGATATATGAAAACAATTCAAGAACCTTAAAATCCTAGTTTTGAATGAGTTTATTTTTAAAAATCACTATTATAAATCTGTGTGTAAAGTCCAACTATCTTAAGTTTGAGATCTGATTAGAATGGCTGTTATGAACTTGGTTTTAAAACCAAATTTAGGTGTTCTTATACATTGAAATATTGCCGGACTCAGTGGCTCAGCCTGTAATCCTACACTTTGGGAGGCCGAGGTGAGTGAATTGCCTGAGCCTGCGAGTTTGAGACCCACCTGGGCAACTTGGCAAGACCTCATTTCTACAGTAAATAAAAAAAAATAGCCAGGCGTGGTAGCGTGCACCTGTAGTTCCAGCTACGTGAGAGGCTGAGGCAGAAGGATGACTGGAACCCAGCAGGTCGAGCTGCAGTGGCTGGGAGTGTGCCACTGCACCCCAGTCTGGGCAACAGAGCGAGACTCCAACTCAAAAAAAAAAAAAAGAATGAATGAAATATTGCAAAGTCATTCTATTTGTAACAGTTTTGGTCCTTGAATGAATTGGTAGATTATCATTCTGTTTGATAAGGAGGCTGGGCCCAATAACCACTGAGGTCATCTCATCTGCCAGACTCCACCTTCTAATGCCTGTGACAGTATTACCACTCTTTGTATTATAGGTTTAGAACTGATTTACTCAAATGCACTTTTAATGAATGTTAAAGCTTTACTTTCTTGAAACAGCCTTTTCTTCCTTCTCTTAGAAGTTTCTTGTGGGAGCTTATATCCTAAGAAATGGATAAAGGCCCATCATTAAAGCATTTGAACTATAGGGCAAGTTCTAAACAAATTAATTTGGGGTCAGCAACTACTCTTAGAAGAGGGGTAAGCAGGCCATGTGGGTTTTCTGTCTCAAATCTTAAGGAGTTCATGAACTTACCTTTGAGGATTTCCTCAAGAACTCAGGGAACGATATTTTAAACTGTCTTCCTGAACTACTATAGGGCCTCTGTAAGAATCCGAAATGTATAAACCATGTGACCTCATTTATTTGTCTTATATATTGACAGCCATAGTAGAATTTTTATTTCTACATTTTTAGTAAAGTTAATATTCTGAAAAAGTCCTTGATTTTAGAGTTCAGAATCTCTCCTAACTTATGGAAGAGTTTGTTTGTTTAATATAGGTCAGAATTTCCATGCTTCTTGCTCCTCCTATACCTCACATCTGATCATAAGAATTTCTTACTGGCCAGGTATGGTAGCTCACGCCCATGATCCCAGCACTTTGGAAGGCAGAGGTGAGAGCATTGCCTGAACTCACTGGGAGTTCGAGACCAGCTTGGGCAACTTGGTGAGACTTCGTTTCTACAATAAATCAAAAAATCAGCCGGGCGTGGTGATGCATGCCTGTAGTTCCAGCTACTTGGAAGGCTGAGGTGGAAGGATCGCCTGAGCCCAGCAGGTTGAGGCTGTGGTGGCCATGAGCATGCCACTGCAGTCCAACCTGGGCAAAGAGTGAGACTCTGACTCAAAAAAAAAGTAAAAAAGAATTTCTTATTGTTATAAGTATTGGCAAGCCATCTGAGGTAAACTCAGAGTGCCAGATAGGACATTCCATTTATGCTCAAGGTCAGAACTTTACAGAACAGTAAACAGTTTAGATTGAGTAACATTTCCCCTCCAATTATAATCTTTGCTTCCAGCCTGCTCCCACCAGCAGAGGGTGAAGGACTTCCTAGGTGCAGGGCACAACCTGAGCTCATCACAGCCACCTACTTGTTTTCATGGGAGAGTAATTAGAACAGAAAAACTCACCTTAATGTATTCCTAGAGGACTAAGCCCATCCATGTATAAGAAGTACAACAGCAAAATCAAACACTGCTGTATGGACAGGAACACAAGATCAAGAAAACTGCCTGATCAGAATGCTAGAAACTCAATTTCAACAAAATACTTTCTAACAAGGGACTTCAGTGTTCCTTTGGCACCTAGCCATCTATTATTAGTCTCACCTGCCAACCCGAAGTCCTCACAACAAGAGACTTGACAAGAAACTGTTGCTCATGGGACTGGGAGTTCACACCCATGAAACAGACATTTTAATTTTTGCCTGGCTCTTATTATCAGAAAGCCTTGATTTCCCCCTGAAAAAGAATTAATTTTAACCTTTCCCTATAATTATACTTAAAATGATTTGACATCTGCTAACATGCCTTCCCCAAATCTTTCTTCTCTAGTGCAAACATTCCTAGTAAACCACTTGCATGGCATTAGCTTTAACAGAAAAAATTTTTTTTTTGCTTACAACTGTGGATAGATCTAGGCTAAGGTCAAAAATAAACTAAGCACCTATAGTGTACTCATGTGCTATGCTTCAATTTCCTCAAGGTTATTGCCATTGGAACTAAATACCAATTATATTTCTCAGATAGCTGACTTAGTATGTGATCACACTTGTATTTATTTTTTTCTTACGTTATGAAAAGTGCAGATTGTTTCCTATACACTTGTATTTATGTGTATATAAAATGCTGTAAAATAAATGTAAATAGGACTTTCTGAAAAGTTTTAGACTACATTTAGAATCCCTTTATTGAATATCAAAATGCTGCTCAAATGAAAGTTAATTTAACCAACATCTAGGTGCTTAATTGTTTGTTTTACCCCACTTATGAGACTGGAAAAAAGATCAATAGGAGAAACATCCAGATATCTGAAATTTGTACATCTTTGCAACAGTTTATTTTTAAGAAACGGTTTAGAGTGGGAATTTAACTGGTAATTTTTAATGTTATAATTTTTTAAAAGATCTTTTAAATAGATGAAATGTAAACTTAGAGTTATATGTTTAGTTTTGACTTTTGACTCTGTAATAGCACTTTTTAAAATCGCAAGTTATATATTATTTTATAGGTATGTAGCTGCCTGTTTATTGAAAAGCACTGATTTTTAAAACTTTTGATTTGAAAACAATTATTTAGCTAGGCACAGTGGCTCATGCCTGTAATCCCAGCACTTTGCAAGGCCGAGGCGGAAGGATCACTTGAGCCCAGGAGTTTGAGATGAGGCTGAGCAACATAGGAGGACCTCATCTCTACAAAAATAAAATAGAAATAATTATTTGAAATAATTCTAGAAAAGGGAATCAAGTTTTCCTTTGTAATAATAATACGTTACACTGAAAAAAGGAAAATGTGACTACGAAGACCCACGTTATCATATTTTGCTTCTCTCTGCTTTTTGAAAGCCTGCCCTCTTAAGTTCAGATTTGTAAAGGGAGAGCAGAAAGGGGGGGACAGAACCAACCACAATATTTTGTTTTATTTATTTTTCTAAAACTCTTGCTAAAAATCCAGATTTTTGAAACTGTTTAAATGTGAATCCTTCCCAGAAATGTCAATGCATTGCTTATACATATAGTCTTCAGCATATTTTACATCAGTAGGTCTCAAAGTCACAGGCTTTCAAGATATAGAAAGATGCCTTACAGGTCTAGTATTTTAATAATGCACCAATACCCAGGGCAGGCATCATTGTGATAAGTTTTGGGGTTTTTTGTTTTTGCTTTTGCCTTTTGTTTTGTCTTTTCCTTAAGAGTGAATAAGATTTTATGGCAGACTTATGGTTTTTTAACATGTGGGAAATGAATTTTCTATTTTGTGATTTATGTAATTTCTTTCTTTTTTGCTGAGTGAAGGAATAGAGAAATGTGTTGCTATTATCAGCATCTTCAAGGTATTTCCAACAAGGCAAGGCTAAGTGCTTTGTGACCATGTTGAACAAGTCCTGTTCTGAATGGATTGCCTGTATTGACCTTTGGGAATTACATAACTATACAGGTAATGCCAAAAACCCAAGGTCACAGCGTAATCACCAAAGCACTCATTTAAAACATATTCATATATCATGTTCGGACCTATTGGAACATCTCAGCACTGTAAAATAGTTTTGATTTTATGGCATATGAATAGCTATTTAACAAATTAAAGTTAGTTTTCTGCTTCTCAGCTTTTTTAGACAATACAAGATAAATTATTATTGGGGAGATAGGATCATGGCATGATTTAAGGGAACACCGGTTATGTGAAGAAAATCCAAGTTTATCAAAAGCCATCTCTAAATTCCTGTTCAGATAAGGATTAATGTATATGTGTTTATATCAGCTTTGTATATTTCATCTTAGCTGCTCTGTCCTGGAAAGATTGTAATGTGAGCTTAAAATGTAAATAAATAATTTTGCAAACGTGCCTTTTGTTTTCTATATACCTGAACTTTTCTAAAGTTTCACTGTGTCTATTACTGGTCTTTAGAATGACAGCATCAAAATATTGCGCTAAACACATTCTACAAATGCAGAATCTCGGCCCCCATCCCAAACCTATTACATCAGTATCTTCATCCTCAAAAGATCGCCAAGTGATTTGTATGTGATTTACAGCACTGGGGCTCCATTCCTGTCACAGAATTGATGACTTTCACACAGGCAGTGTGAGGTCCCTGCAAAATCCTGACTCGACCTCAGGTGAGGCCCTGCTTGGGACTGTGGATGCTTCAGAGGGAACTTTATTTCACTTGGCCATTTTTATGGGTGGCTCATGAATGATGAGACATATGCAATCAGAGACATGAACAGCTAATCTAAAAGCACATTAATAGGCCAGGCTCGGTGGCTTAGCCTGTAATCCCAGCACTTTGGGAGGCCGAGTCGAGTGGATTGCCTGAGCCTGCAAGTTCAAGACCAGTCCAGGCAACTTGGCGAGACCTTGTCTACAATAAAATGAAAAATAGCCGGGTGTGGTGGTACATGCCTATAGTTCCGACTACTCGGAAGGTTGAGGCAGAAGGATCGCCAGAGCCTAACAGGTCGACGCTGGGGTGGCCATGAGCGTGTGTGTCACTGCACTCTAGCCTAGGCAAAGGAGTGAGACTCCAACTCAATAATAATACACTAAATAGTGAAATGTAGAAGCGAAATGTTGACTAAACTAGACCCATCTCAAGAGAATTGTTTTATTTTAATTTTAATTTTTTTGAGTCAGAGTCTCCCTCTGTTGCCCAGGCTCAAGTGCGCTAGCACACTCATGGTCACTGCAGCCTCGACCTACTGGGCTCAGGTGATCCTTCCACCTCAGCCTTCCAAGTAGCTGGAACCACAGGCATATGCCACCACACCCAACTACTTTTTTTATTTATTGTAGAGATGAGG